ATGGATGAAGACCCAGCCGGTGGCCTTCTGATCGTGAATACGATCGGCAGAGAACGCAGCTAGTTTTCTACTAGGCGCCAAGCAGTCTTGCATGCATCAGCTGCGCCCTCTGTCACAATAAAGCTTGGCTTCAGAATGCTATACTCCTGGACTACGAATTAGGGATTATATTACTGTCTCTACCGTGTGCGGTAATTTAACTTCTGTCATTTTTGGGGTTGATTGGGTAATTACTCACTTTAGAATGGGCATGGGTGAGGTCTTATTTCGCAGCCGCACCTGTCAGGAGTTAGGGTTAGGGGCTAAGGGTTAGAGCAATGTGTTAGTGTTATGAGCCAGAGGTTACTGCTAGGGGTTGGGGGTTAATGATAGGGGATTAGAGTTGGGGTTAGGAGTTAGTGTCAAATCACTATTACCACCGATCTCGTATGACAGACGGCTGAGGCATGTTTACTGCAGGTGCGGCTACGAAATAAGATCCGACAAGGAAAAGGATGCAGGAATTTGAACTTCACGAGTAAAACGTCATGATCAAGCCATTTTTAATCAGAAGGCTAACTAAAGAACATTTTTCACTTGCAAAGAGTTATATTGATTACAGGCCCTCATCCTGGAACAGTATTTACGCCTCCCCCCCCCCCCATAGAGGTCTTATCTTTAGAAAGTCCATGAAGTCGACCCAGGTGGTCGTGTGTAAGAATAAAAATTTTAAGAGAGCGCACAGCGTCGGATGCAACCATTAAGAACTGTCAAAGGTTGATGGTTCGGATGGCTATCGAATTCAGAGAACGGCTAGTCTGGCGGTCGGCTACGGACACCAGCAACAGCAAGGTGTTTGCCGATGTTGTGAGGGACGTCTTCGGCTACAACAGCATCCACTGGTGCCAAATGGATGACATAATCTTTCTTGATACTACTCCTGCCTATCGCTCTAAAAAGGTAGGAATTTGATAACGATTGCAACTATAACCTAGCTATTTAGACAACATCCAGTCTCGCCGCATGCAGCCTTCAACCGGCTGCTATTCATACCAACAGCCCGGATTCTAATCCTAGCGGAAATCCTTTTGCACTAATCAAGTGAGGGCGACAAGGCAAAAAAGAATTTCTCAGTGTAAGCAGAGTTTGATTTTGTGCAAGATGAGCACAATGAACAATGCACTACAGACAACCCGGCTACCACCATGTCAGAAAGACTTTCTGCCGAGTTACATGGGAATGTAAGGCCAGTAAAGTACTGGTTTTGGTATTTGTTATCAATTTTATTATTTTCCCCTTTCCATGCGTCCCGCTTCCTTATGGCTCCCTATAGTTAAGCTTATTTAGTGGTTTGTGATATAGCTATTTTTAAATTCTAATTTTCGACTAGCATTACTTATTTATATGTTAGTAGATAGTAATTTATAAAAATATTGTGGATTTCCTTGCTATTTTGATAATTTGGGGAGAGCAGCGTGGGCGGGTTTTGTGTTATGGGGATTTTTTGTGATAACTCATTACATTTAATGAGTCATCACATTTACTGTGCATAATAAGTCGATATCAGGACAACCCTCAGAGAAAAAGAAGGCAACAAGGTACCTGAACCAGATCAGCATCAGTGAAGGACAGCAGCATGTCAGAGGTGATGCGATGGTACTCGAAGTTAGCAGCATAGTCCATAGCATCGGCGGCTTCAAGGATCTTGTACACATCGGGATCAATAAGTTGCTCCTGTGCACACAGGAAATGGGTGGAAAAGTACAGCAGGCGGTGAAATTAAGCGCTGCTCATCAATAACCCAGTTTCTTGAAGTGAAGTTTCCTATTTGCAGCATTGATGGGAAGTGATCAAGGCTGGATAAAAATTACCCGAATCAGTGACTGCCGGGGCCGATTCTAAAAGGACATGTGTGCAGTCCTCAGCTGTCTTCTAGACTTTCGGGTGGGCTAGAAGCCACGGACCAAATGTTGCTATAGACTCCCATATGTATCGATTGGAACATGTCAACTTTGTAGCTTATAATAGTAGGGGGCGCTCACCGATCGTTCTTACGGAACTCACTCGTTCCGTTGTGCCTTACGGGCTCTCACTCCAGCCCAACCAGCAGCCGCACAGCGGCGCATGATAAAGGCAGAATGGCATTACCGACAAAGTCTCCCTTGTCTTTGTCGGTAATGCCATTCTGCCTATTTGTAGCTTATGTCCAGGAGGTTAATAAAACCCTCTGCTAATTTCGAGACGGACATGAACAATTTTAGATAAGTTAATAGCATAAAACCAAAAAACTGGGGAAGATGAATCAATCTAAGAAACTGCTGACGTCTTCGCAGCAATCAGTAAGGACTTCTGTCGGAAGGAATGATGCTAGGGTTAAGTTATAAACTTTTTGAAATGAATGTGCAGTGTTTAAAATAATCGGCAAAACGGGTTTCTTGTTTTTAAACAGGTTTCCTTTATTCAGAACAAACCTGATCACATCGAAAATTGTAACGGAAGTGGAATTCAAATGACACATTAAATCCCAAGACCTCTTATTCGACTGTACATAATATTTGAGATGCTATAGACCTTTGCGAAGTCTATCAAAAATGTAGCGTTCAAGGTGATAAACGGCATGGGGATGATAGGCTATAAAAGGCACCACCTTAACTCTAGGTTTCACATTACAACATCCAATGGCATATAAATATGTGAAGGCCTTAGTACAGCCAACGCTCTAACCACTCGAGCTACGAGGCCCCGCCAGACGACTCGAGTTTAATCACATTTGGGTCAAGTTTACCCGCCCAACCTACTGCAACGTCTGGAATCCACCAAATCTGATACGGTAAGTTGACTGCCCAAGCAGGATTTCCTAAGTAATTCACCTAGAACCCACCAGATGACTACCAGGCTCACTTAATTCATAGGTATTTTGGCAGATTTTGAATAATTCCTATTGACCCAACTGTGAAAAACTCGGCGCTGTCCACAGTTGGCTAACGGGTCGAGGAATTTCCTGCCATATTTCGGCACTGATTTCTCCGCCATTGTCCACTTTTCCTTCCTACAGAGATTTTAGAATAAACGTTTCTGCGATCACAGTCTGTTTCATTAAAATAAAACGGTACTCAGAATATATTTTTTAAAAAAGCAAAAACCCAACTACTTTCGGGAAAATGTCTGCTTTTTTCATATGGAAGCCCAACATAAAGGCATAGCAGGGAGACCCATTATCTAACCCGGGGGGTGGTGTATGTGTAATTATTAAATTCTTAGGCTTAGTCACGGTACAGGAATAGGAAGGAAACAGTATAAGCCAATCTTTGTGGCTCTACTGGTTGTTTAAGGACTAGCTTTTTGTCCGAATCCCTCCCACGGACTATAAAAATCATGGTTCCATTCTTCACCAACAGACAGGCTAAAAAGACGAGGCTCAGAGTAGCGGCCTCCTGTTTAAATGCTGCGTGAAAGTGCTACGTAAAACTTGTAAGTAGGCATAATTTATGACATTTATAGGGCAGAGGAACGGCCGGGCGCGCTGCACTTGAAGGACAGAAAAGCCTACTTGTCACACACCACATGGTTACCTAAAAAGATGGAAACTCACACTAAGCAGGGCCGTCGGTTTCTTGTCCATTAGCCTCTGGTATTGCACAAGCCAGTAGTCGGTCTGGTCGCGGAGTTTGCGTGCTTCTAACTCCACCTAGGATAACGGGAAGAGGGACAATTATTGTCACAAATAAAAGCGCACTAAAAAATCCGCTATTAAATGTGGTCTGGGAGACAGTGCTTGCTGGCTGAAAAAGGAAAGGCCGCCCTACCAGACGGTTCTGTAACTCCGTCTCCCGACGTTCTTTGGCCTTCTGCAGGCTTTGTAGCAGCTGCAGGAGTTTGCCGCGCTGCTCGGCAAGTGTGGAGACGGTCAGCTGGGAGGAGGCCCGCTTCCGTTCCTGCTCAGCCTGCGTCAGACGACAGAGTTCTTGTTCGACCAGCCTGATCTCCTGAATGATGCGCTGACTTTGCATATCCCTGAGCTGTTGTAGCCGTCTAAAGGCCTCTTTTTGTTCGGCCTCCTAGAACACAAAACGATTAGAGAGATCAAGTTTTGCTTGCCTCTTTTCAGTTACTTTTCATCTGACAGTGTATTCTCTGCCTGATAGCTTAATTAACTCGCTTAGAGTCCTATAGATCAAAACGATTGAGCGGTTAAGCACAAAATGGACAAAAGCAAGGAGAAGGAAGATTGGTCGGGCAGCAAATCCATTTGTTCATTTTTCTTAACTCCTGAACTAATGCAAAAGTTCATCGTCAGAGATAAAAGAAGCAATAGAACGGGCGACAGTTACGAGGAATATTTGCCAATCCACGACCAGTGCTGCAGGTCTGGAGATGACTGTCTAAGGCTATGTATGCCGGCGCCAGATCGATAAATTGATTGAATAAGTTCTCATCCGGGGTCAACTAGATGCATCGATCGGCCGTTGGCGTACAGTCTTGCACCTGCAGACCTGCAGAATCACTCGTTGATTGGCTAATATCCCCTATAACTGTCGCCTGTTCTGTTACTGCTTTTATCTCTGGCGATGGACTTCTGCATTAATTTGAAAGCTCAGAAAGATAAATGGTACCGCAGCGCGATTGGTTTTCCTCCTATCTACTCGTACATACAGTGAGTGACCGATCTCATAAAATATTGGCTGAAATTGTGGAATGCGGTTTCGATTGGGAGGGATTACTTGGCGGGGGTTGTAATATTGATTAATATGCGACATAATCCTATAGCAGCTAGGACTCGCCAGGATGTCGGATTTTGAACGCACTTCTTTTTGACCTCCTGTAAAAACCGCACTTGGTAAACAATGACTACTTATGTAGCACGCATTTTTCGCATTGATTTTCGGTGGTCTTATAAATTCAAATATATTTTGCAGAAAGCATGCGCAAAAATATGCTTTCTTTTACCCCTTTGCTGATTTTCTACCAAATGAGCAAAAGAAAGCATATTTTGTGCATGTCCTCTATAAAATATATTTGAATTTATAAGACCATCGAAAATCAATAGGAAAAATGTGTGTCACTTAAGTAGTTATTTTTTACCGAGTGTGGTTCCTGAAGGAGGTCAAAAAGAAGTGCATTCAAAAGCCGACATCCTGGCGAGTCCGAAATGTTATAGGGTTACGCTGCATGATAATCAGTATAACATCTCCACGTAAGTAATCCTTCGTAATCGGAAACGCATTCCAGAATTTTGGCCAACATTTCATGAGATCGGTCACGTACTGAAAGTTTAAATTAAAGGTATGGATAGCTGACAATGGTGAGTAGGCCAACAAGTGGTTGTTGTTATCGTCTCCCTAGTCATTCTCTACTGGGCTGTTCTCGATTCTACCTCTGGTTGGTAGTGTGGTTGATAAAACATTGGGCCGCCTGCATCCTACAAGACAATGCAAGACTGGTACCTCATCTGCGACCCGAGCCGTCAGGTCTAGCTTGTCCAAGCTTCGACTGGCAAGCACCTTGGCAAGGGCTTTCTCGGAGTCCACCTTATCCGTATGCAGTTTCTGCTTGGCATTCTCGCGAGACCGGTTCTGCCTCGCGATTACAGCCTCAGATGCGCGCAGAGTCTCCTGCATTGAGTCTAGGCAAGAAAAGGGGAAAGAGTGGAGGCTTAGGCCGAAGAATGCTGCTACCCGACTGCTGTCCCGCGCGTTGAAGTTTCAATCACGCCTGACATGCTTTCACCGTAATGTAAACTCGCTTGTTTGGATAGCTTCCTTCCCCCTCGCCATGCGCAGTCGCATACCAGATCACCAGTCTATGGTTTATTTATATATCAAATTTCATCCCTCTAGACAGCCCTCTAATTGAACAGTTTACCTTATAAATACGCAATGACCGTACGGAATTGACTAAGAGGTCACGACATTTTATGGCGGCATTAAAGTCTGCATGCTGCGTCGCCTTTACCTCGTTCAAGTTTATTCCGAGAAAACAGTGCTTCAGTTCGTTCTTCTACCTATCTGTTAGTGAATTACATCTCAATAAGATTTCTTATTTAAAGAAAGAGTACAACTCGGTTGTTTATTTTTTTTTAAAACTATTCAATTCGCAAATGAATTTTAACCTGACCTGCTGTTACACCTGCATTCAGGGTCTCCAAACTACAAGCTGTATATTTTCCGTATAAGGAAAATCATACATTTCTATACGCTATTAGAACAATCAACAGAATTTGGCAGATTTTGACTACTTCATATTGACCCAACTGTAAAAAACTCGGCGCCTCGGTGGGATTCGAAAAGACGCAGTAAGGGGAAGGCTTTAGTACAGGCAACGCTCTAACCACTTGAGCTACGAGGCCCGGCCGGACGACGCGAGTTTAATCGCATTTGGTTCAAGTTTATCCGTCCAACCTACTGCAACTGTCCAAGGAGGATTTCCTAGGTATTACACCCAGAATCCCCCAGGCTCACGTAATTCAAAAATGTCAACTTACTGTAACAGATTTGGTGGATTCCAGACGTTGCAATAGATTGGGCGAGTAACATGACCCAAATGTGATTAAACTCGCGTCGTCCGGCGGGGCCTCGTAGCTCAAGTGGTTAGAGCGTTGGCTGTACTAAAGCCTTCCCCTTACTGCGTGGGTTCGAATCCCACCGAGGTGCCGAGTTTTTCACAGTTGGGTCAATATGAATTACTCAAAATTTGCCAAAAAATCTGTGGATTTTCCAAATAGCATATAGGAATGTATGATTTTTCTTATTAAGGAAATGACAATTGGGGTTCATAAAATTTTGAAGTGGATTTGGGTCATACTGCATAACGATATTTCATGAATGAACACTTCACGGTCTTAAAAAGTCTCATAATTAGACACTTTTTAAATATCCGAATATACTTTCCCTTCAAGTGTAATATCTAACAAAGATCAACGTACTACCAAATGAATGAATAAAAGTATATTTTTACGCGTGTTTTCCATAAAATATACTTGAATTTATAGGAATATCGAGAATCAATATGGGTCACACTACTTAAGTAGTCATTTTTTACGAAGTGCAGTCTTTGCAAGCGGCCGGAAATAAGCTCGTTCAAAAGCCGGCATGCTGGTGTGACTGAGATAGCTTGGGATTATGCTGTAAGGCAATTAATATTACAACCCTACTTAAGTAATATTTCTGAGTCAAGAGCGTAATTTAAAAGTTCGGTGAACACTTCATGGGATAGCACATCCACTGTACAATGATATCTGAAACGGTCGCTCCCGCATGCGCCTACTTCGAATTACCAATCAACGTGCACAACACGGTTGTCCTGCACAAACCAGCGCCAACTGTCGAATAAACTGAACTCGCAGTAACCGTCTCGCAGGGGTAGACGCATTATTTTATCTGATTAGCACCATCAAAATCAGTTTCGAGATTGCAACGCTCCTCTCCAGAGTGTGTCAAGTTTTCGGTAAGTCACAAGGCTCACTCAGAGATGACTGTGGCAACCTTTTCAATACCAAGATGAGTACAGTGCATGGCCGATCTCATGAAATGTCGGCCAAAATTCTGGAATGCTTTTACGATTAAGAAGGATTACTTAAGTGGGGTTGTTATACCGATTATCATACAGCATAGCCCTATAACATTTCGGACTCGCCTGGATGTCGGCTTTTGAATGGACTTCTTTTCGAACTCATGCAGAAACCACACTCGGTAAAAAATGGCTACTTAAGTAGCATGCGGTTTTTCTATTGATTTTCGATGGTCTCATAAATTCAAATATATTTTACAGAAGACATGCACAAAATAAGCTTTGTTTTGCTCATTCGGTAGGAAATCACAATGTCTTCATATTTTATGACCAAAGAAAAAAACGTTTATAAAAGAGTTTATAAAAAAGTTTTAAAAAAGTTTATAATTATGAGATTTTTAAGACCGCGCTATATCCATGCATGCAAGACAGCACATGTCCAGTTGCTAATGCTCCTCATGAAATGGACAACATAGCCCGGATCCATTGTACAATTTCATGAACTCTATGTGGTATCTTCTTAAAGACATTGAGGAATATATGATTTTCCTTATGCGGAAAGCATGCATCTTGTAGACTGAAATTGCTAAACGCTGATGCAATGGCAGATCAGGCTGAAAATTAATCGGGAATTGAAAAACTTTTGTAAGGCCTAAATATGTACTTTCTTCGGGCGTAAAATATGAGGATAATGTGATTTCCTACCGAATGAGCAAAACAAAGCTTATTTTGTGCATGTCTTCTGTAAAATATATTTGAATTTATGAGACCGTCGAAAATCAATGTGGAAAATGCATGTTACTTAAGTAGTCATTTTTTACCGAGTGTGGTTTCTGCAGGAGGTCAAAAAGAAGTGCATTCAAAAGCCGACATCCAGGCGAGTCCGAAATGTTATAGGGCTATGCTGTATGCTAATCGGTATAAAAACTCCACTTAAGTAATCCTTCCTAATCGGAAACGCATTCCAGAATTTTGGCCAACATTTCATGAGATCGGTCACGCACTGTATTTGCAGGAATATCATTCTGAAAACGTCCTCAGATAGCGTAAAGACCAGAACTGCTTGTCAAGGCCAGGCGAGTAAACCAGATAGCTTCCGGTCAGGCTGTCCGCAAGAAAAAACAGAGAGGGAGTGGTAGGAAGAGATCCCGAGTACCCAGGTCCATAAGGCGACTGAGCACCTAGGCCATGTTGAACCAGGCTCAACTCCGATAGAGAGGTCACACTGTCAGGTTGACAGACGACGACATGTCGGAGTGACTCTTCGCTAGGGTTGTTCGCAGGCAAGGTGGACAAACAGGCGCTACAGGGTCACCTCGAGGACCTCCTACGAGTGCTACCCAACCAACAAAGGGCCCAAGGGGGCGCTTGTATACAACTGACGGACGTGGCGAATGGCAGAGGAAAAGGCGAAGGAACAGGCGTGAGAACAACGCTGCTAATACGTTGGACCACTGTTAGCTCACTTTCAAGGTCCGGATTAGTCTTGCTGACTGTTTTCGGATTAGCTGCAGTGCAACCAATTAACCTCCCCACGAAACAAAACAGTATCATCGGTGAGACCACTTTCACCTGTTCTCTCTCTCTCTGTAATGGCACGTTTTTGTTCCTTTATTCTGCTTTCAAATACCTTCGCAACCACCGAAATGGCGACATGGCCAACAGTGCTGACACAGCATCAACTTGTTGCAATCGTGGTCGCACGTGCCAACAATATCTCGCTCTGTTTGGACATCGGCAAATCCCTGGTGACACGGCTGGAGAATCAGCGTCTGAAGAGCCGACTAACACCAGTCAAGTCCACCTTCCGTGCTCACGCTGCAGAAGCACACTCAGGCATATCTTGGTGGCTTGGTCAGTCCTATAGGAATGCGCAAAATGAGCAGTAAAATATCAACATCACTTGTGTTCACACTGTCCTCAAACATTCAATCACCGAATGGCTCTGTTGTGTTCTATGTGCACACACTAGAGCACCGCCCATCACTCGTGTGCCAATCCCAGTGTCATGGTTTTTAACGTCGAAAATGACAGGAGTCCTACCTCCCTAAAATAAATCTGACGCGCCAAAGTCCGTGACCTGCATGGCTGCCAAGTGACGAGGGTCAGATCGCAATGGGTCCTCCTTAATGCGTCCCTCTGTTCTTGAAACCGGATCCGCGGGGAGTTGGGGATGAGGTCGTGTGTGGCCCGTCCAGACGGGCTGGTTGATTTTGTCAGTCATTATGCGCACACCCTCATCCCGTCGCTCTGATTTTGTCGTCTTAGTGGAGGGAGAGATAGATTCGGAAATACAGAATGAAGTAGGTACGTCGATCAAATTCAGACGCATGTCCCCGCAGTGCCCTAGGGACAATGATGGACCTCATATCTTGAGACGTTCAGACTATCAGTGTCTATGATAACAATGACAATGATAGTGATGAGGTTGATGGTGAAGATGTGCGTGTGATATGTGATGCGACAGTTCGACCGTAGTTGTCGACGATGTCCACTATGTGCTTCACAGCACGGTGAGAGCAGGGACGGTGACATATGCGAATGTAGACATGCACAGCATCTACCGCACTCTCTCCTCCCCCACCTGGACCCGGTGTCAAGACAAAGTCAAGAAAACCGGGGGCGGGAGAGGGCGCAGCTGAATGTCACGGTCTAGCCCGCATCTTGGCGCTCCATTCCCCACACCCCCTGGGCCACACAACAAATGACCAGGTTTTTGACCAACAAAAACAATGGGGGATGGCAAGTGTCCAGTGTGCGCGACGTATGCCGGCAACCGGGTCTGCCACCGCACTCCGAAATACTGGCATTTGTTATGGTGTGCAATCCGATAACGCCTGCCAGAATCCAATATGGTCCCCGTGTTGGTCCAGCACATCTGCCACGTGACCCGTTTTGAAGGCAGATGGTCATCGTCAACCACGACAGATGAGCTATCGCGTATTTATATGCACAAGGACGAAAAAGAGAGCTAAAATGGGCGGTAAGCGCATCTGGCACGCACCAAGTATGGCCAGTCGGGTGCTCTGAGACAGACCAGTGGCGAGGTTATGGTTCAGCACCTCCGTTTGCTCGGCTTCCCACTCGGCCTCGCGTTTGCATGCCGCCTCGTTGGCCGCAGACAGACGTCGAATCAACTCGTCTGCATGCGATTCCGCGTCACGCAGGCTGGAGAGCAGTTCCTGCCGTCGGGCATCGCGTTTTTGCTGCAGCAAGCAGACCTCCGCATCATTGCGGCTGCCCTCCTGTAAAAAAGTCTCGGCAGGTACATTCTCGTAACCACGACGAAAACAACAGAGGTGGGGGGGGGGGCAGGGGGACAACAAACTTGACAGAGGCTGAGCAGGTGGGCCGGTGGTCTACACACAGTCCCCCCCCCTCCTCCTCATTCTTGCCCTAGGTGACTGTGTGCACTCACCTCAACCAGTTGGTGGAGGACAGCGTTCCGCGATTTGAGGGCCCTTTGCGCGGCGAGCGCCTCTGCCCTCTGGGCAGCCACGAGTTCTTTGTGTAAATTCTCATTGTGGCGTCGTTTCACAGCCAGCTGATGCGCGTAGAAGGCGGAGTCCGCAGTCTGGCAGCGGGAATGCAGGAAAAAAGAGCAATAACACCTTGTACAGATCAAAGTCCAACATGACGACGACAACAACAACGCGTGTTCCATACGCCCTCAATGCAGAATCACGAACTGGCTCGCGAGGCAACCCAGCAGTTCAAATGACTACTATGCTGCGAGCCTTCGAGTAATAGTCCCTTTCGACACAGATCAGTGGGTATATTGGTCGAGGCTACCCCCGCGAGTCAAAACATCCAAATCTAAGAAGCTACGCAATACCAACCCCCCAGAAACCGACCTAACAATGGGGGAACCAGCCTGGCTTGCCTATACCTGCAGCGTCTATAAATGAAAAAATATGGACTCTTCGGTGTCACAACTGCGAAACCCGAGTTCACGTAAGCTGCCACCAACTGCAACAGGCATTACTTCGTCACCAACCTCGACTCCGCCCCTGTAACCGTTTATGCCCCTCCCCCCAGTGGCCAATTTGAAGCTAAGCAACCCCATCGATGGCTTCTTGTTCAAAAATTCTAACAACCGTCGGTGCACATGCAGGAATAGGATGGGACTCTTCTGACGGCTCCGAATACGTCAGAACACTGACCTCAACGCATATCGTCAGTTATTCAACTTACCTTTACCTGTGCTGGTAGCCGTATTCGAGTAAAATTAGCCAGCCTGGTTCCATGAAAACGATGCAATACATTCCGAATGACCGGTTTCCCTCCCTCCCCAGAGTCAGATAGTAGGTCAGTCGGAAACCACCAGCAAGGCTAGGGCTACGAAGTCCTGTTGTTTGGATTACTTCGGTTGCATGGTGTAATACTTAGAGATCGAGCTAGACAGTGCACCTCTTATGCATAGTTTGAACAAGACTTGCAAAAGGTAGACGTTCAGAAAATTCAACTAGCTCGACACAAAGTTGTTGCCAGAACGAATGAATAATAAAAGAAGAATGGCTCGAGTAGATGGTGGCTGATTGGTTTCTGTGGGCTTTTAAAGGTCTCAATAGACTCGTGGCGATGTCTCAGCGGTAACTGCGATCCACGAGTGGAGGGCATCTTCCCAGTCAGAACATCGGGGGTTTTCACCCACCTTTGCCTGAAAAGGACCCAGGGTGAAGTGTGCAGGCTTCCTCTGACATGTGCTGCAAAACCCCTGCAAGAATATCCCGTGCCACCAAAGAAGTTCGGTCAAGATTATTTTGGGCGCGTTAACTGGCGCGCGTCGTATGAATTGTTGTCGTTCTCAAACTAGAGATGACGAACAGGTCAGTTCAAAGGTGGCTTGACGTGCCCTGTTGAGGCATGGAGATGGTTCTTGGGCAAAAGTTTATCTGGTCTTAGCTGAGTGCGACGAGTCCAGCAGATCCGCCCCCTTAAGTCCCCACGCGTGGAGAGACATCATAAGAAACGCCACTGACGGCGCCTGGAGTCGTTCGGCAGTCTGGCGCAGTTGAAGGTGGAACAACTGTGCAGGAGGAACACGAAGATTACTCCGGAGAGACATCAGCGGTGGGAGGGAAAACGCCATCTGACAGGACTCCGCTATACAGTAGGTGGGCTAACTCATGAAAGGGCAACCGAAATCCCGAAATGCGTTTTCGTTTCGCAAAGATAAATTAAGTAGGGATGTAAAACCAATCATCGTGCACCATAATTCTATCATAATTCAGTTACCCCAGGACGCCGGCTTTCGAACAAACGTCTTTCCGACTGCATCTAAAAACCATACTCGTAAAAATTAACTACTTGAGTAGCACGTGTTTTTTCATTGATTTTCAATGCCCTTAAAGATTCAATTATATTTCATGGAAAATATCCACAAAAATATTCACTCCCTTTCTCATTTGATAGTAAATTACTTCTTCAAATTTTATACTCAACGGAAGGCTATAATTCGGTTTTGAAAAAGTTTCTAATTGTGAGATTTTTAAGACCGTGAAATGCACGTTCATATAACGTCATGTCTCTGCAGTTACCAGTGTGGCTTGTAAAGGTAACAATGTGGTTCAAATCCACTGCCAAATTTTATGAACCCCATATGGTTCCCTCTTAATACGGTAGAGGAATGTATGGTTTTCCGTACGCGGAAATTATACGGCTTGTAGTTTGGGAACCCTGAATGCAAGTGTGACGGCAGGTCGGGCTTAAAATTATTCGGGAATTGAAAAAAGTTTTATAAAACCAAATTATACTCCTTCTTCGAGTATAAAATTGAAAGGAGACGTAATTGTCTACTGAATCAGCAAAATAATGAATATTTTTATGAATGTTTTCTATGAAATATAATCAAATCTTTAATGGCAGCGGAAATCAATGAAAAAATGCATGCTACCTACGTAGTCATTTTTTACGGAGTATGGTTTTTGGATGCAGCCGCAAGGAAGTTCATTCGAAAGCCGGAATCCTGAGGTAACTGAAATATTATAGAATTATACTGCACGGTGATCGGTTTTACATCCCTACTTCATTTATCTTTTCGAAACGAAAACGCATTTCGAAATTTCTGTTGAGATTTCATGAGTTAGCCCACTTACTGTACTCCCAGGTTCGACGAGGCTGAAATCCCCCAGAGCGCGACAACTCCATGAGTCACAAGCCGTTTCAGTCATGTTTCTGCAGCCCCCAGTTCACCCACAATCGCAATGATCTTTTCCCCGCCCTATCCAGTGCCGAAATCTTGCTTGGACCGGGTAATTAGGTAAGTGGGGGGGGGGGATGAGTCTGTTTCCAGTGACGAAGTCAACCTTTCGACGGTCGTTCTCGAGGAGGCCCACCGTGTGCCCCACAGCAGTGTAGGACGGTAACTTGCACGTGAACTAGTTTGTAGTGATAGTACACTTGGGCTGCGTCCACCACACTCTCTTCCCCCTCACTTTTCTGGGTCCGGTATCGTGACCGAAGCGAGAAGACTAGAGGTGGCATCGGGTGCAGGTGGCCGGCGGGGCATGGGCCAGAGCCTAGGCGCGCCACTGACCTCAGTAGGTGGGCTAACTCATGAAATGTCAACCGAAATTCCAAAATGCGTTTCCGTTTCGAAAAGATTAATTAACTAGGGTTGTAAAACTAATCATAGTGAAGCATAATTCTATGATAATTCAGTTACCCCCGGACGCCAGCTTTCGAACAAACTTCTTTCCTGCTGCATCTATAAAACATACTCCGTAAAGAATAACTGCTTATCTAGCATGCATTTTTCCATTGATTTTCGATGCCCTTAAAGATTCAATTATATTTCATGGAAGACATGCATAATAATATCCATTCTTTTGCTCATTCGGTTTAAAATTACGTCTTATTTCAATTTTGCACTCGAAGAGAGGGTATAATTCGGTTTTAAAAAAGTTTCTAATTGTGAGATTTTTTTAATACCGTGAAATGGCCCTTCATAAAACGTCATGTCCCTGCACTTACCAATGTGACTTGTAAAGTTAACGATGTGGCTCAAATCCACTGCTTAATTTTATGAACCCTATATGGTCCCCCTTTATTACCGTAGAGATCTGCATGGTTTTCCGTACGCGGAAATTATACGGCTTGTAGTTTGGGAATCCTGAATACATTTGTAACGGCAGGTTGGGTTCAAAATTATTCGGCAATTGGAAAAGTTTTATAGAACTAAATTATACCCTTCCTTCGAATGCAAAATTAAACGAAGACGCCATTTTCTACTGAACGAGAAAAAGAATGAATATTTTCATGCGTGTCTTTAATAAAATATGGCCAAACTTTAAGGGCATCGAAAATCAATGAAAAAAAATGCATGCTACTTCAGTAGTCATTTTTATGGAGTACTAGCTGGACCCCGACAAGCGTTGCTGTGGCTCAGTCTGACGAAATGCGAAAGAAAGAAAAGCGGAAGGGGACACGTTTCTGATATGTTTATATGCATAATTATTGTGGGTATAAGATATTTTTGCCGTTGCGTTGTCTGTGCAGACACAAATATTGTCTGCTTTGCTGACTCGGGAGCACGCAACGTAAAATTGGCTATTTGAGAAGCAATCCGTTTGCAGATCCTAAACCGCACAATTCTAAGGACTGGGCCTGAGCTTTGCTGATCGTGAATGCAAACGCCAGTCGAATCGGGAAATGCAGCATTCTAAATCGAAATGGCATGTCGGTTGGAATCATAGGAATGCGAGGGATAAGGATATGCTCTCCTTTAAAAGGTCCTGTCGAGATATTGGCTCCCCATACGTTGTTCACTAATGGTTTTACTGCAAGTCGCGTGCCGTTGGTAAGTTTCGGCTGGCTGATTTTTCGCGGCATGATAACCGGCACACCGATTTTCAATTACAGTAACCGCGCCGTCGTCCCTGGCAGATCAAGCGAATTCAAAATTTCTGTAATACAATTAACTGCCTCGTCTGCTTCCACAACAGTGTCGACGGACGTGCATGGGAACTGCCCCGCCTTGAACTTTATACTGAATAGTATGGTTATGTAGGTAGACTTCTTTGTTCTTGGCTGCAAGAATATCTCGTTCGCTCAGGCAATCGTGATTCGTATAATTGGTTTGAATATTGGGAAGTACCTTTGTAACCTATTCTTATTTTGACGACACTAAACTGCCTGATGTAGGAGGTAGTGAAATGCGTCCTGAAGTCGGATCAACCGGCACCGATCCGTTCCCAACTGCCAGCAATGGGTGTGAGAATATCTCAGCTGTTCAGTCGTTTTGTAGCCGGACACGCATATCCGTAGTAAATTTTAACGTCTGGAGGTGGCGCCACAACGTGGAGTATGTCAGGCAGGCATTTCTTTCGTCGGCTGGTGTCGATCGAGGAATTACAGGCAGTGTTTGCCCGAGTCTCCTGCAAACAGTAGCAATGCGTCTTCAAATGGTCTGCTGTTTCCATGCAAATCTCGCAATGATCGGTCAAGGGCCTCGAGCGTTTTTGTGTGCCATTGTGCATTCACCCCAAACAATAAGTTTGAATTTCTGCAGTAGTTTTCCCATGATGAGTCACGGCCTAGACTGAGAAGGATTGAGAAACTGGTCGGGGCTTGGATGTCGATGAGTATCTCGACTGTTCGTGGTGATAGAGATTCCATCATGTTTAAGCAGCTGTCCTGGGTTGAGGGATAAGTAGTCAGCTTTTCCCACCGCGTACGTTATGCCACGTGGAGTTACAGCGATTGCACCTGTCTCCCCGATAGCTCAGGCCAGACTGAACCAGTTTTACACAGCGAATACGCACTGGCTCTTCGATCCCGCACTCTTCAAGCGTTCAAAAGCCCTCAAGACATCAAATGCCTCCCATGACCATCTAAGTCCGATTTCAATCCCGTAAAGCATCTTCGGAGAATTCTCAGATTACCAGGAATGAGCACCCAGTCAGGCTCGCTCTCTCGAATGCATGGAATAATCGAAAAAAAATAAAACGCATACCTCAGCGACAGCATGCAGAGATAAGGTGAAGTGGTTCACTTTATCGGCCAATGGTGTATACTTACGTCCAAGGGATCGTCAGAAGTTGAAATTGACAGTGATGCGGATCGAGACTCAGGTTCGTCAATCTTCGATTCAACTTTGTCGGGGATGTTTCCAGCTGAGGGGAATACAGCAGTAGAGAAAATGGGTCAACTTGCACATAAGACATCAGAACTGAAAAAAACATGACGAATCGAGTCCATAGGGTGTGAACTGATAGACGGCGCGCCCATCGGTGGATTCGTTTGAATGAGATTGACGAGCAAACGACAATCAAGGCAAACGGCTTTACAAGGCGATATCCACACTCCTTTCCACATCAGGGAAAAAGGACAACAGTTGTCACAAAGACCGCAACTTTATCAACTTGACTTAAGTTACCGACCGGCTCCTCAAACTTAGCGGGCTGAAAACATCCCAGACTACTCGGGATTCAGAAATCTATCTAAAAGATACGAGAATTCGCTAGTTTACCAATTATCTTCTGGGTCAAATACTTGTTAGTTCATAAACATACTCACAGGACAGCTGATTGCCTCACCTGCCTAATGAAAAAAATCAAAACGCGGTGAAAGTAAAGTAAGTGCGGCGTCGGTTTGCTACCTTTCTTTGTTTTACCTGCGTGAAGAAAGTAAGTTTCGTTTTCAAAAGGCCAACAGCGTTTGGCTGAGTCGTACGGGCATTTGCGAGAATTGTAGAGGCCGCGGAAGCTGGACTGGTATACCGGAGCTCGTAAAACGAACATCCCCCAACTTGCAAAGCTGGTCCATCTGAATTCGACTTTCATCCAAAAATGTTCCAAAGTCCTGCCTTTCAGGTCTCTTTAAAGCACTTTTAGTCACAGTACCAGCCCAAACCAATTTGCGTGCGATCAGAAGAGGGCTCAGGGGTAGGCGACGGACAAACCCTGCTTCCAAAGAAACCAGATGTTGTCTGTTTTTGTGTCCAAACACCTGCAGCTAACCTGGTGGCGGATTGGCGATTCAGTATGCATCAGTGAGTGAAGTACGGAGACTTACTGCGCGAAGCAGGTAAGGAGAAAACTAGCCTTGTCAGTTTTATCGACTAGGTGACAGTCTGAAGAGTCAGAATGAAAAACAAAATGCCCCAGATAGGGAAGTGACATGGCTGCAGTGGCGCAGAGGCTCGTGCAACCAATGACCATAAGACTACAGGCGGTGAAGGACACCTGTTTTGACAAGGTCACCACTAAATTTACGCAAGAAACAACAGGCAACAATGGTGATGAATAATTGATTGGGTCCAGATGAAAAAATTACCTCGACGAAGGAAGGAGAGGATGGCGGAGATCCCGCCCTCACACACGTCTACAAAGAGGTATGAAAAAGATCTTATATAAAGATAAGCAGTGGTACTTCAGAGGTCCGCGCAATGCTGTCAATGCAAGTGCGGAGAAAAGATATTCGTGGAAGTGCAGTTGAGGTGGACGTAAAAAGTAGTTCGTCTGCTGTAGGAAATCCAAGGTCAATCTGTACTGGAGCTAAATGGCTAAACTCGTGATGGTATTCACAATTTCACACCCGCGATCGACTTAAAGATGTAAGTTCAGTGCATTGTGAACGATCGCCTTCCATTTTAGTCGGTCAGGGACAGCTGAGGAGGTCAATTTGAATTGGTCAACATCCTAATCCCAAGGAAAACCAGGGACCCAGAGATGAGCTCGAGCGCCACTTTCTCAACGCCGATCCACCTCTTCTGCTGGCCACTTCGACGCCGACGTTAGTCAGCCCGACCGAGTTAAGGAGAGATGGCATCTCCAACGTGACAAATGATCGATTCACATCAACTGGGTTGCTGACGACCTGTGTTCCCGACTGACTACACAGTCGTTTATTAAGACTCAGTCGGACAAAGAAATTCGAAGCGTGGGACGTAAAACAACTGACCAACTATTTTTAGGCAATGTATACGATAGGTAGGGTAATTTATGTGAAGTTGAAATACTGATTATCATGCAGCTTAATCCTATATTTCAGTCACTGCAGGACGTCAGTTTTTGGGAGCGCATCCTACCTACCGTTTATAAATATCGCACTCGTCAGAGAAAGAATACTTAAGCAGCATGAATTTTTTCATCGGTTTTAGCCTTCAGGGTAAATCCACACATATGTCATGTAAAGCATGCACACGCTTGTACTGATTTGGCATTCAATTTCGCCTTCTTTAATTTTTTACTCGACGGACTGATATCTTACAGATTTGGAAAGTGATCCAATTCCCGAAAAACTTCAAACCCGACCTGCCGTTGCGCTTGCGTCTCAGGCTGTACACTTTCCATTTTAAAAAAATTACGCACTATTACTAGGGTACTGTATGTGTCATCCCTGATGTCGATTGCGTATTCTTGTTTTTCTTTGCTACTAACCGCTTGTTAGTAACCAGACTTTACTCATTCCACCCTGTCATTGTCTCTGCATCCCCGCTCGTCGGTCCTCGTCCTTCTTTGTTCATTGTTCTTTGTCGCCGCTCGCTTTTAAATCGACCACCACACTTTGGTGTCATTTGCTGACTGCTCGTCTAATCACCTCGAATGTACGTATACTTTTCAATTTATTCTCCGCCTTATTCACCATTTCACACCCGCAATCGACTTCAAGATGTGAGTTCAGTGCACTATGGTCCGCTAATCTAGCTATTTATTACAGTAGAATCACGAAGAATATCCGAGTTATCCCGACTGTCCTCTGACACAGTTTTGACCTCGGGTGCGTCTATTCCGGCGAATAAACTAGCATTGAATAAAGAAAAATCTAAAGAATACTAACACCGTGTATGACACGCACAATTTAGCAGTGGGTATGAATCACGTTGTATACTTCATAATCAGCATTAATAAACGGACAGACACGATGCCATTCGAACAAACTTCCCGATTCCCAAAGTCTCTTGCTCAGAAACTTTTTAAATTTGAAAGCAATCCCTTCTTCGCGCAGAAAATTGACGAGATAATTGGACAAAAAAGTGATTACAGGAAGGGATATTATTTTGTGAATGTTCTCAATATAGTATACTTTGCTTTATAAGAGCATCGAAAATCAATCGGAAAATCATGCTACTTAAGTATTCATTTTTTGCTAGAGAAAATTTCCGCACGCATCCGGAAAGACGCACATTCAAAAGTCGGTATCCGGCTGTGGTTGAATGGTCATGGGATTATGCTGCATGAGAACCAGCATTATAACCTCACTTAAGTAAAGCTCTCCAACCGGAATCACATTTCAGATTAACCAAAAGACCCGATCCCTAAGCAGGAGATGTCGGCCGTTGTCTACCGGCTTCAGTGCAGCTGCTGTATGTGCAACTACGTTGGGGAAACCGGCCGACTGCTGCAAACGCGAATACACGAGCATAAGTGCTGATACAGTCCCCGTTCTGCGCGGCGGATGGGGACGACAGACAACTAAGACGGTCTGCGCGTGGGCGCGTAGGAGAACGTTTGCCTTAGTGACCTGAACATGTGAATAACGGGAGAGCAGCATAAAAGTACACACGACATGACGGAGTGTTGAGGTGATCTTAACAGGGGAAGGACACAAAACACTCGCTTGACGTTAGAGTGCCGTTAAAGCTATTTAATGCACAATGCCGTCCTACCTCTTTGAGGAGTCAAGAGGGAGTCGAGGGGAACGGTCAATTTCTTTAACTTCCGGAGGCATCCTAGACGGACAGGCAGGGCTTGCAGGGGATTTTTGGCCAGATAGAGTTCATGCAGATTTTTGAGATCGCCGAGGGAATCCGGCAGACTGGACAACGAATTGTCTACATCAGAAAAGAAGTAAAGAAACTGAGGAGGGAGCCATTTTACAGTGTGGGTTTTGCAGGAGGCCGAAAAGAAGTTCATTCAGAAGCCTGCATCCCGAGTGTAGAATTATGTTGTAAGATGAGTAATCTTAAAACCCTACTTAAGTAATCTTTTCGAAACGAAAACACATTTCAGAATTTCAGTTAATATTTCATGAGTTAACACACCTACTGTAAGTATTCATATGCCAGGAACCAAATATAAACGCTGGGAGACTCATTGATGAGTCGAGTCCCTTGCTGTTGTCATGTAGCACCATAAAATCAGAGAAACAAATGTTCAGGCCTTTAGCTAGTAACTGTGCTGTCAGTACGGCAACTCAATCCCAAAGTATAAATAAAAGTCGGTCGGGACCAAAACTGTCCACTTTGTCTCCTGGTGTCGCCATCATACCACGCGTCAACGCTCTGAGGTAATGAGAACTCTCGAAGTATGGGGTCTACCTGTCAGCCCATGTGCAGCTAAGCTGGAGCTGATAGTGGAAAAATCTTCGTTGATGACTGGCCGAGAGGCAAGTAGACTCTCAGGTCTGACGAACAGGCAGCCATAGAACACAGAGTCCTAATACCTTCAGGTTTGGTTGGACACTGATCTGACAAATCGACCAGTCCTGCCCGAAAACCACGCTTTTTCCTCAAACCAAAATAGGATCAGACACGTGTGTGGCAAGCAGGGGGTGGCGCAGTGGTAGATCACCTTGCATAATGACTAAATGGTCTCAGGTCCAGAGCCTGGGGTTTATGTTTTGACTGACAGGCGGTGGCAAATACGCCAAAAATGGCCATTTATAGTGTCCCTTGTTGTTATTTGTAATACTTATTGATCGAAGACTTATCTCCGATGTGTGGCCGTCGTCGAGGGCCGTACATCGAAGGCTGAAAACCTCCGCCACATTGGTGAAGACCGCGCTGAGGTTACTGTGATCGGCATCATATACTGAGAAAAGAATTTATCCAGGGAAAACGACAGAGCCAACATACCCTCGAAATTGAGTGTTCTTAGACTCCGCACGCCTCCCAGCTCAGTTGGCAAACTGCGCAGTTTATTGTGACTCATATTTAGGATCTGGAAGAGATAAATATTAACGGAGGCATCACTTGCCTGCAACGAGTGCATCATGAGGATCTCCGGGGGAAATTCGGAGAATTGATTGGCGTGCAAATCGAGGTGAACAAGGTTAACGAGGTCCTCAGGCCTGCCAGAATTGCAAATTCGCTGGAGGCAGTTGCCGTGGAGTATAAGTATTGTTTTCTGGAAAACCCTCACCTGAGATTCAACTCCACGCGGAAGCTGGCGCGACAGGGGAATGAAAGTTAGCTAGGCAACAAGGTCAGTACTTACTTGCGAGAGATTACAGTCCGACAGATCAAAAACAGAGTCCCGTGACTCCCGAGCCTGCAAATAGAAATAAAAATAGGATGAGAAACCTTGATTAAAACAATATCGGTCTGTTTCGAAAAAGTGGGCATAGAGCCAAAGAGGAAGCCACAAAAACTCTTCTGAATAGCAGTCGTGTGGCATTAAAGAAAACATTAATATATCGCGCTAATAAAATTTTCCGAGTTCATTAGCAAAAGGACGGATTCGGGTAAATGAATAAACGAGATAGCATGGCCGGACTGCTTATTATGATTCAGCTATCCATTATATTCCAGCTGGGTCGGCTATCATCTTTTATATTGTAACAATGGTAAGCAAGAGTAATTAACACAACCAGCAAACCCACTTACAAAGTGTACATAAAAAATGGAGAGAAGGGCATAATACCGGCGCTAATTGAGGAAGACAATTTCCTCTGACTGCTTTTCCTACTTTTTAAGGAAATAAAGGCGTTTTTCGGTTCTAGTTGGGGAGCTTTATTGTACAATGGCACAGAAACAACAAGAGGAAACTGACGTACAATATGAAGTTTGCTCTCGAGGATCCTTTGACACTCAGGAGGCATCTTTCGCTTAAAGAGGGGCATTGGGTAGAGGACCAAGCTGAATAAAAAAAGGCACAAACCAGTTGCGATAAAGTGATATGACACGCGGAGTAACAATACAAAAAGGACAAACTAATCGGTTTAACCTTTAATCGCCTTTTCTGGGAGTTGGGGTGTTTAAGCTTGCACAGCAATACGCTAATCACTTAACGTGCAAGAAGAATTAAAAGGAATTCATGGCGACAAATAACAGTGTTTCAGGGTCCAGTAGAGAACTTCGAGCGAACTATAATGAAGAGGACATGCGCGGCACCATTCTAACCCTCTCTTCTCACAACTACTTTCTTCTATTGGCAAAACAGTGCGGATAACTCGTGATGTCAACTAGCAGTAGCACCATGTCGAGGCCGGATACAGACCGATTTGGACCACAGCGTGCGAGGGCATTGTCTACCTGATTAAAATAATCTTAGAGGTAAAATTTTGGCAGTTCGGTGGCGAGTGTGTCATTTGCGCCGGTCACGAATGAAGATCCTATCAATTATAGTTTCCAGGCTGAGCGACCATATTGCGCCAGAGTGTTACGTGTCCTAAAAAGTTCTCTCCCATCTACGATAGGGTGGTGCGACACAGGATTGGACCACTGGCACTGGCAACTCAAAGACAGTCATGTCTATACGTTGAGAAACTTCCGAGAAACCGAAAGAAGGCGTTTTAACAGGACTTAATGTGGCGGCCATAGCAGTATCCAGAACGGTTGTTTAGACCGTCAATGGATAGTTTCGACCTAAATGCGCGTGAGCTTGCCTAATTTTATGTGATGCTCATTGTATCGGTCATTACACGCTAAAAACTGCGAATTTTATTTATTCGCGACCACTCATGACAGTTTAAAATATTAAATTAGAAGTGAAGGTTCGTTGGCATCTAATTCAGGTGAACCAGTTTTCCGGAGGGCGGAACGAGGTAGCCTAACATCGGGTGAAGAACGCAGGGTTAAAGGATCAATCGCGGCAATGTCGTTTTTGCGAACCAAGGTTTGGCAGAACTAATTGCTTTCCTTCGCAGTCGTTTTTCGGCCCACCCTTAAATATCCCCAATGATGCATGCTGCTGTCAGGAGGCGGCCACGCGGGAACTCAGGCTAGGCCTACTATAGTTGCAAATATGCGACGGATAATCAACTAACATTGGTCGGCGTGGCGGGAGTCTCGACAATCTCTTAAGTTTGCCTCTAACAGATCTATTTTATGGACTAGGTAAAGACTGCCTTGTTGATGTTTAGGCAGACTTTAGACACCGTTCGCACCCAAATTAGTCAGATTATTTTCAGCCAAAGTACATGTGAACCTGCGGTTCCGTCAAGCGTGCCAATACGCTAACCTAGAGAGATGAACCCAAAAAGTACCAAATAAACCAAACGAACGAAAAAGTTCATTGCTTCTCAGCTATGTGATTCGTACTGAGGAGCGGTCAAAATCCGCCCAACGGTAAGTAGGTGCAATATTGAAATGTCAATGTATATTTGAGCCTGTTAAAAGTAAGCCGACAATCTACAGAATTTGAAAGAAAGACGTAAGTGCGAGAGCGTGAGTCCACCCCTTATTTAGGACTATTGAATAAGAGTAAAGAAGCAAACACTACTTAAAAAGAAAGTAACTGGCAAGCCAATTCATTATCTAGATCGAATGTGTCAGTGATTTTATTATAACGGAGCACCTGTTTTGAGACCGTAAATCTTTTGCAGAACCCAGTCAACGCACCCGTAACCCCTCAACAAATTCGATAGTAAACATCGAAAGAACCTCTTCTAAGTCGGGTAAAAAGAGCCTTACAATCTGACTGGCCGTCCTCTACCTCTCCTGATTTTCAACCATTCTTCAGCCGGCAGAACGAGTTAAGTCTGCAAGATGGATGCATACTATGGGATAATCGTGTAGTTTTGCCACCACAAGACCGACGGGCCATCGTCAGAGACCTGCAAAATGCCCATCCTGGAACAGTCAGAATGAAAGCCCTCGCACGCAGATATGTTTGGTGGCCCAAAATTGACGTAGATATAGAAAACGTGGTGCAAGCATGTCACGTGTGCCAAATAACACAGAGGACCTCACCGAAGGTTCCTGTGAAGCCTTGGGTCTGGCCCGGCTCGCCCTGGAAGAGGGTACACGTCGATTATTTTGGGCCATTCCAAGGCCATATGGTTTTGGTGGTAATTGACGCCCACATTAAATGGATTGATGCAATTCCGATAGGAAATTCTTGCGAACCGTTTTTTACTTTTGAGATACCTGAAATGGTCGTTTCGGACAATGGTCCGGCCTTTACTTGTGCAGAATTTAAAGATTTCATGGAGAAAAATAAAATTAGACATTTAACTACTGCCCCGAACCACGCTGCCTCTAATGAACTCGCAGAGAGTGCAGTCCAGACAATAAAGCACGGACTTGCCAAGCAGACGGAAGCGGAGTTGGCCACCAAGTTGTCACGATTTCTGTTCAGCTATCGCATAACACCAAACGACTCAACTGGTGCTTCGTCTGCAGAATTGATATTCAAGCAGCAGTTGCGCACACGACTTGACTTGCTTAACCCATCAACGTATGATAGAGTCATTGTAAAATAGACGAAAATGAAAGCACGATATAATGCGAACACCCGACCACAAGTCGTCGCGCCTAACGAATGTGTCTACACGCGACTGGAACACGAAACGAACTGGTGTCCAGCGGTAGTTCGAACAAGCGAGGGGCAAATAGTGTAGTTAGAGTTAGAAGATGGGAGAATTGTGCGTCGACATCTGGACCAAGTCGAGTGGACCGAAACGGTTGGTCGGGTGAGGACGATGCAGAGAAATTGGATGACACCGAGAGCGGCGCGATGCACTCAAGATTGGCTGGCTTAAGTCTGTCAGTGAAGACAGCGTCATTCTTCTCAGCATTCTGTATGACGCCATACTTGTCCATCCGTTGAACAATCCTATAAGGGCCATCGTACATGGAACAAAAAGGTTTGCGATCCGCGTCGTGCCGGACACAAACGAATGGAAAAGATTTAAAGTCTTCATGCACAAAAACACATTTGGATGTCAGACGAGTGGGAGTTGGTCGCAGTTGATCCATTGGTTGTTTCACCTGCTGAACTGAATGTGCTTGGGATGTTGGTGTTTGTCGTAGAGGACTGTAAACATTCACCGGACGGACGGAGTGGTGTACCGTACACAAGTTCGGCGGCAGTGCATTGGATGTCCTCCTTGACAAAAGTTCGGATGCCCGAAAGCAAAAGAGGGAGATAGTAACTCAAAGAAGCTAGTTCTGGATGAAACGTCATTGCGAACTTGAGTTACCGCTATAAACGCTCCTTGAAACTGTCGGAGGCAGGGTGATATGCCGTAGTCTCAGGGAAGAGGCGAAATTACAAATAACTCCCGCGGTCAGTAGTAACGGTTGACGGCACACCAAAAGTTGGAATCCAGTGCGTCGGGAGAGCCATGACAACATTTTATGCCGAAGGATCCGAGATGGAAACGGCAATCGGCCACCGTGTGAAACAGTCAATCGCTGTGCGAATATGCGTGTGGCCGCATGAAGGGCGTAGCGGACCAAATAAATCCAAGTGGACGTGGTGGTATCGCACATCCCGGATGGCGAATGTGCTTGGTGGAGAAAATGTGTGGCGGTGGACTTTGTCTTCTGCCAGGGTAAACATTGTTTAGTCCAAAAAAAGATGCCAGAGTTCATCTTCGGCCAGCTAAAACGAGCGGCTATTAATTAATGACAAGCGCGGATGCCAGGATGCGATAGGAAATGGAGATGGTCAGGCAATGCCTTGCGGTAGGGTAGTGGAATAACAGGTCGAGGAGTACCTGTGGACCAGTCGTACAAAATGGTGCCTGGTTATGTGGAATTTGTGCACCTCGAAGTTGCAGCGTGGTATATGTACGCAGATCGTCAACGAATTTTTCGCCTGATTGGAGGTCTGCAAGCTTCGCTAGGTCGAAATCGGATGTAAGTGTGCTGATGTCCGGACAGGATAATGCATTAGCAACGTAATTGCCGCTACCTCGGATATAGAGAATATCTGCGGTAAACTGCGAGCTGTAGTCCAACTGACGAACTTCCCTGTGCGAGTACCGATCTGGCTTAGCCTCAAGGGCGTAAGAAAGGTTGGTGGTCGGTGTAAACCCGAAAATCTGTACCCTGTAAAAGGCATCGAAAGTGACGAATGACCAAGTGGATGGCAAGAAGCTAGCGAGAGAAAGTGCTGTAGCGGGTCTGTATAGGTTGCAGCTTCTGTGAAAAAAGGCAACAGTTGCGACTGGTTGTTCACCTGTTTATGCAGAACTGCGCCGACAGCACTGTTGGAAGTGGCAGTGGAAGAAATCATCTACTCATGAGCGTTGGAGCTGAGATTGTGCAGCATGGTGCCATCAGCAACAGCTCTCTTCGCTGCCTCAAAGGCTGCACGGACTACCGGTGAATGTTCAATAGGCCTTACCTTTGACTTCAAAAGATCAGTCAAAGGAGCCAGGATTGCCACACCTTGGGGAATAAAACATTGGTGATGATTGATAACGCCTATGAAACGCCGCAGATGAGAAATTGTCTTGGGGGCCGGAAAAGACGAAATGCACTGCATCTTCTCTGGAAGTGTTGCCATTCCATGCCGATCGACGTGGTGACCAAGGAAATTAAGAGAAGCGACTCCAAAGACATATTTATGGACGTTTAATTGCAAACCATGTTGATGGAAATGACCGAATATCCGGCGTAAGCTCGAGGCATGTTCTTTTGACGAAGAGCTTGCGACGAGCATGTCGTCGATGTAGACAAAGGCGAATGAGAGACCACGCAAGACCACATCGATAAACCGCTGGAAGGAATGGGCCACGTTGCGTAATCAAAAAGGCATGGGACGAAATTTAAACAGGGCAAAGGACAATGTGTCGGAGGACTGGGATATGTATTCTTCCATGACCAGTATTTGGTTGTATACTCTCACCAGGTCTATTTTCGAAAAAGGATTTTCCTGCTATCGTATGAAATAAGTCGTGGATATGGGGAATGGGAAACCGGTCGGGAACAGTGGCTCTGTTCGGTACCACGAGGAGTGAAGAAGCCCGAAGGACGAATAATCACAAAATGTTATCATGCGCTCAAACTCTTTCCTCGCTATCCGAAGCTCTTCGGAGTGAAGACTGCGAGAATGTGCTTGAACGGTTTGTCCCGTGGTAACGATGTGGTGTTTGACCGCATGCTAAACATCCTTGGTGAACTGACAGGGCTTATCGAGGAAGTAGTAGTCCTTCAAACTGTCAGCAAAAGGCGAGCTTGGCACGGTAAAGTGGATGCTAGCCAGCTGTAAGAAGCTTGATTGTGACCTCAATAAGTTTGCGATAACTCAGATCGACTGCAAGGTGGATTGTTTACGGGCATTACGGCGTCGCACTAGTCAACTTCCGATAACAGTCCTCTTAGTCACTGAAAGACTGCCATATATCGCAGTTTGCGGTCTCGATCACACTAGTGGCTAATTCTTTGCGTTACCTGTCTTTAATTGTCATGTTTACTCTTGCCTATTAGTCTATTCATAAAACCTACCCGCATAGACCGGAGGCCCCATAAATACGGAGGACGATTGGTGTCCGAGTACGTTGGACTGGAAAATACCTGGACATGCCATCGCTGCTCTTGCTTGCCGGATCAACCAAGGATCGTCTTCAGGTCAGCCATTCCTCGCTAAAGGACCTCCCGGTGTTCCTTATCATGTTTAAATTCCTACAGTCTCCCCCTCGTCCTAAATAATCCATAATCTTCCCCTTCGGTTAATGCCTTGTGTTATTCTTGTGGATAATGCAATAATTTCGACCCTGTAACCTGGTGCGGAAAGTTGAGTGAATTTGGAGTCGTTTGTTGTCTTTGATTTCCTCGCGGTTATTTTGCAAAGATGTCCCTGGTGACTGAAGTCTCGAAGGGTAGATCTTGCTGTCAGATTTGCCATGTTTTAATTCTGTAGCCTTTCTACGTGATGTATTCCACTCACCCAAAATGAGCAAAGGCCGGCGTGTTTTGGTCGTTGATGAGGAATCCGCCACATTGTTGTCTTCATGTTTGCGTATGCAAGATATCATGGATACGGGCGTGATACGTATGTTTAAACCTAGTTTTATTCGTGTTTAGTCGTCGAGAACATTCAGAAGGCACGAAAGAAACTACCAATGGAGGCTATTTATATTATTTACCCCGACAGAGATGTAATCGGATCATTTCAGTTATGTACTTAGTCTACAGATCGACTAATTGGAGATCTAACCTCCGTGCCTACGCAGTATTCCAGCGCCTACGTTTATTTTACAATTGGTAAGGACCACTTGGTTTTTTGTGTTGAACTAGCTTTCCATTTACCCCTCAGCCCTTAGCTCAGCTGCATTTTGAAAACAACACGATCACGAAGGTTTACTCGTTAACTGTTTCTTGAAAATGCTTTCTTTTGTAATGCTAAATAGCTGGGCCGCAGGGCGTCACAGCCGCTAGTCATCTCATCGCTATTTCTTTTGATATAATTGTGTATCATACATTGCTGCTAACGCGTCAGCAGTAGCTTCGCCTTCAACGTCTTTTGATAAACGAGCTGACAGTTGCCTAACAGTACGTCCTTATTGTGACTCACATCTTGAATACGTTGATATATTTTAGCCTGCCCACCACAGACTCTCCAACGAATAGCAACTTCCGGATGCATGCCACTCCTAAAGGCATTGACGCAGTTGAATATTGGATTTCTCCCGCTCGAGACGCATGTTTTTTCCGTCCCTTGCAAGGACACCCCTGTACTCTACAGCTGTCCTGTTGATCGAGTTCCTGATCGCGGTCTTAGATTAGAACGCATGGCCGAACAAATTGCAACGACCTGTGTGCTCCTGAATGAGTATCCGAAAATTCGATACAGGAAGTTAGTCCGTGACTAATTTTTTCCATAGTTTTCGTATTACACAGTTAATTAATTTTTGGAGGCTCATCTCCTAATCTCCACAAATATCATTCACATTTCGGCGAGTTCCAACGTGTCCGCAGTTTCAGTGAACGCGTTGGGAGCGTAATTAATCACATACTGTATTCCGGTCTCTTTAGTCCATTATTTAACAGATTACACCTGTATCGCGTCTCAGTGAACCTTCAGAGAAATAAATTTGCGCGTTTTTGACCGCATAAGTGAGTAAAAGAAACTTACATACTGACAATCAGCCCTCTTATCTTTTCATTAGCATTTGCTAGTACTTAGATTGTGCGGCCTGTTTCCTTAATATTCATTGGATTTGGGTGATGCCTATCCTTTCTATGGATGCCTGCTGTCAAGACTCGATTTATAGATTTTACTAGTGAAGTAGGAAAAACACTAGGGATATGACTCGGCTTTTTCCGAATTTGCAGACAAGTAGTCCCTTTTTATTCATTTTTTTACATCTACAGGAGACCTGAAAATCTTGAGCTGGCTCGATTAGTCCAAATGAAACTTGATCAACAGAAGTCCGATAATCCGTCAATGGGCCAGGTAACCTCCCCCTTCGTATATTTAAGTCTCCTCCAGGCAGTGTTTGTTGAATCAGTTACCCAGATAATCGAGTGCTTGTTGTCTGTATTCGCCATTCTGCTAGGGAACTTATAAAGGACAAAGCATTCTCCTTCTACTTGATCGGGGTACGGATCCTCTAACGCCACTCTTGCACGACCTTACCCTGGAAGCCTTACTGCACGATTTGGTCAAAATTGAAGGCAACATATACAGGTTAGAATGTCACACTATTATTCTAGCCGGTTTACATTTTACGGATATAAACGCATGCATTCAGCTTGAACATATTACAAACACATTGGGGTGGGGATGCCACTTCCGGCATTTTGTTGAAGTAAAGAAAACAAATCGACCTCCGGGACAATCAGTACATGAGTCTTAGTTTTCGAATTCACGGAGGAGTCCGTCAGCTGGGCCGTGAAACACCCACAACAAATGAGCAGTTTTGTAGTTCCCAATGGCATGTTGGCAACGTGAATCCTTGACCGGAAACTGGGCCGCGCCGCCTAGACCCGAGAGCACAAGGCATGGTAGGCGGAAAACGTGTCCTGCTCACAAAACTGTAGCTAGAAGTCCAGTCCCCCAGCAGCGATTTACGCGTCTTGTTGCCGACCGGCGTCATTATCTTTGTCTGCAAAGCCAAATTTATAGCCTTGTCAGAGGGTGTGCACAGCGACTAGGGTCAGCGGGTCTTATGCACGCAGTCGACTTATGCCTACGGATTCGTAATTTCAACTTCCATCTCCCCTTTTCCATATAGAAGTTTTGTCTATGACATTAGTTGGCCTGTCCTCCAGGATGGTTGTCTTCCCATGAGCATCGCTTTCAATGGCAAACTTGAGTCAGGGACTACTATACCATCTTTTCCTTATTTACAAGTGTTATGACACGTACCTGCTTCCTACGGCTCGATTTAGAGTTCGCCCACTCACAGACTGCTCTAGAGAAGAAGTATTGCGACCAGGCTCTTGATCTTCGGGGCAAACATGTTGCGTCAGTTGGGTGCCTTATAGGACATCACAATTAATAGTGAACTGAAGACTGTACGCATTAGAATTTTTCAGAAGCTGGGGAGTGAGAGGATACTGGTGAAGTTAGTAAGGGGTTTTAGCGTTTCAACATTCGTGCAGCAAATGCAGCGGGCATTACAGTCAAGTGGGTATTTTACGTCAGGATTGGTGACAACTCGCGTCTTCAATTTCGTTCTCAGGTTCTTGAATGCGTTTGTTTTCAGGTCGACCATGACGTTGTACACTTGCCCGCTGTTATTTTTGCCTTTTTTTGTGATTCTCATTTCGCATTGAGGAAAAGAACTCGATTTTAGTGGGAGTCAGTATAGTTTTTGCCTCAGTTTTTGGACTCATACAAGAGTCCAGAAATAGGTACTGGTTTACGTGGATCACAACCTAAAGTTGATCCATACATTGCATTACCTTAATCGTACTCAGTAACAACCGCCACTGACAGTGCCAAATTTTTAAAAATTTATCTCCGGTTCCTGCGTCGATTCGTTCATATCTCAGAAAAAAATGAACGTAACTTTTGTTTCATGTTATCATTTTTGCTGAAAATTAGGCCTACAGCTTGTTCTTGAAGAACGTGAGTACACCGGTTTTAAGAAAGCTCATTAGGTCTTTTGGATTTTGAGATGCAACTAGTAGGTTCATTTGTCTCAAAGGTTCCTAAGCTGCATGCGATATTTGATCTAGAACAATTTTATTAGAATGTGGGATCCTTCGCCGATTTAGTTACAGTATGGAACGCAGCCAAACCTTGGTGCATTGAAGCTCAATCCATGAACCTCGCGCGCGGTGTCACATAGCGACCGACAATGATGGTTGGTTGACTGACGGCGAACAGTAGCCTGAAATTGCCATCGTAGTCTTCTCTTTGTCGATATTAATTCTGCCGACTCACTTCTCCTCATGTGCCTGTGGCAGTAGTTCTTGTGTATTTTTCAGGCAGCCGTGTTAAGCCTGCGAATGCTAGATTACACTAATCCCCATGAAGACTTCCGAAGATTTTCCTACTTGCCATACTTCCCTTATTCTAGTGTAATATTTGAAGAAAGACCAAAGTTCCTGCAAAATGAGCATTAAAGTGAAACTGTCGTGCACCCTTCGTAGGAAATAGTTTTACGCTTGTTGATGTATCTGAATTTGGTCGTCGAAATTGTCACTGTTTTCGTAGCGATTGTTCTCTGAGTGTGATTTTAATGGGTGCATGAATGAATTCCCAACCGAGGGCTCCACGCATATCCTTACTGCAACCGCTGGTTGGGAATATTTCCCATGGACTGCTGTTGACAAGACAAAGTGGGGCGTAATGACCATTTCTGGTTTATTTGACTTCCTCATCTATCCAGACTCTGCCACCAGACTGAAAGAGCACGGACTCCGGCCAGCGCTTTTCGTCTCTGAGATTCAGGTCAGACGTTCTCCCATAGAATTGCGGGATCGTCACGTTGTTTGGGATCGGAAACACTAAGTCACATTGGTTTGACGTTCGGCGACGTGTTCTTTTAACAGGAAGTAATACAGACTCTTCCGTTCCGCGGGAACATTTGCCATTGCAGTTGGTCGCACAACGGCGAGCAATCAGTAGAAGGGGAGGACTAAGGAAAAGACATCTAAAAGGACTAAAAATCATTTCTCTATTATTTACACTCATCAGCCATGCATGCCCAACCCTAGACCGGTACAGCGATAAATCGCGCCCGAGCTCTGGTCTCTAGGCATTTGAGCCAAATACCTCCCGATTAGTTTACGGACCCACGCCTTATCGACCATGATATAGGAATATGCAGTCCCATGAAAGTGGATATGCAAGGGTGTTAGAATTCAGACCAAATTCAGTCCCGCTGCTCCTGCCCATTCATTTGCCGTCCCTTCGTGGTTATGTCAACAGCTACTGTCAGTAGGACTATCACGCCTTGTGGTCGAGGGCGTGCATGCCCAAGTTAACTTGTAACGGTAAAAGTTAGTTGTGGCCAGCTAGACCTGTTAGTCGTCTTCAACACTAACATCGGCACATCTGCAGGTATCCTACCATGTATATTTTTACATAACCAGTCTTCTAGCTCCTTCAAAGAAGGACCGTATAAGAAGTGTCTTTCCGTGTTCAGGCTTTGTCTGAATAATTGGGGACCTGCTACATCCCCAGACTTATTTGTAAATTAATCCGACCCTAGTATGTTTTGGCTTGGTCTACTCTCTGTTTCCTTCCGTTTAAGGTATGGCAATGGTCAGGAGTTCGAATTAACCGATCAGGACAAACTGTGGAAGGACCTTCGTCACGAACATATTGCTGATGTTACCAGGTAAGCTTCCAAATCCTCAGTGCATCCCAGAAGTCATGCTGGCGGCATTTGGCAGCCCAGCTGGTGTTTATTAGTTGTATGCATGTTTGGCGATCAAAGTTCAAAGCCTGCCGGGTGAACATTTTGTCCGTCTACCGCCACGGGGATGGTCAGGGACAGTGATGACTTGCACTCGAATTGGGTTTTAGTAGGGGGACCATGCATAGCACCGAATTTACTCCCTCCTTCCCTTCCTCTCGCGCACCAGAGTCAATACTCAGTTAGACCCACCGAACCAATGAGTGACCAGTTCTTGTTTTTGGGAGTGTAGACATTCCCAACACCTTTCACTCCCGTTTCCTGCATGTCACACGCGCTTGTTGCTCAGCTGACATAAGCTGGACTTCGCTTGAAAACTTGTTTGATAATAGGATATTTGTCTCCGTCTGAATCTGACGCAACAACACCGCCAAATCTGGATGTCCTACCAACTTTTTTTACAGTACAAGGGCATATTTTTGGCCTCCAAGTGAATAAAACGGAGTCATCTTGGACGGTTTTTAACCGTTAGACACGTCTTCCCAACCCCTTTATAATTTTGCGCACCGAGTATTCGCCAAGTGCGCAATAGAAGCATCCATTGTCACGAGATTTTCGGCATTTTCATCCTTGCAATCTTGCTGACTCTTTTGTATCTTTCCTCCTAAAGCCCATTCTGATAGTTAAGGGTCAGGACGTGAACAATTTCTGATTTTCTGGGCTTCATCAACCCTTCCAGTACAGCTACCATAGGTCGCTTATGATGTGGAGATGGTTTCTAGCTACTTTTTATCACCACTGACGCCTGCTCGCGCATTAATATCCGTGGGTGACAAAAATGCTTAAAGGAAGGTAAAAGGGTGGATAATGTTCTGCAGACTTGTTGCAAATAAACCCTCATGCGTATAAGTACACCAGGGTCAGTCAGGCAAGAAATAGAGAAGCTCATTGCCTTCATCTGGGGGCAGATGCGCTAACCAAACTTGCATCACTATTCGGCTTCGTTTCCTTGTGTTTAGTACAATTCTCCCACCGTCTCACGAGGGCTTGAGTTACTTTAAAGAACAAGTCTTTTGGGCTCATCTCAAACCGCTCAGGCCCTTACATCCTGTCACAACTGGCTAATAACTTGCTTGAAAGGTTGCCAGCTGCCGATATAATTCTGTCCTCCCTGGAAAACCAATCAGACACCTTCGTAGTTTGACCTTCCTGACACCCGTTCATACGATATCCGAGGACCCGCATTGAGGCTTGACGAGTGTGGAGTTAGGCGCTAGGTCATGTGTGTTTGGCATGGACTGTTTAGCTTTGTCAGCCGCTGCGTCCGCGCCCACCTCCAGTCGTCGTGACCCCGTCTTGCCAGCGGAATACGGCGGGTGCCGAGGATAGACAGTGAGGTAATTTCTGCAAAAGTCAACGACCAGTTTCATGCGTAGGTCCTCCCAGCGTCCTTGCGACAGTGGTGGTCACAATCGCCTGCAGCCAACGAACTCGTGATGTCGGATCGGCAACTGCGCCCACGCCCACCTCCAGACGTCCTGACTTTGTATGACTATTCGAGCAGGAGGAAAGGGGGCTGATTTCGATCCCGTTCATGTGCAAGTCACCACTGCTCCCCAATGTGATGATCACGACGGACGAGTTAAATGTCAAGGCTTGACCAGTAATCTTCCCCTCTCCCTTTTTTTCCTACAAAGGACACTGCCTTCTCTTGTTCGGCAGTTTGCAGAGAGCAAGAAGCACTTCCTGTCATCAAAGGAGGCGGCCAGCATGTCCTCCAGCCCAAACAGTACTCTCTCTCGAGACAGCGCTGGCGAGGTGAACCTTGCCGCGGAGACGGGCAGCGATACCGGACGGAGCCATGATGCCAGCTTGCGCGCCCTCCAGACGATGGTCCGGGAGATGCCCCAGTACCAGCGCGAGGCAGCCAGCTACAACGCCCTAGTGTCCATCGCCGACACCTGCCTTTCTGCCTGCAGAAACAGCGTTAACAAAATGTGCGCTGTTGAGCAGGTAGGAGGGCCTGTTGCCTGTGTTGTATCTCCGCCATTCCCGAATGCGGCCCCACCGATACAACATTTTTCCATGAAAGCTGGATGTTTGTACTGTCTTTGGCTAGGCACATGAAGTACTGACCCCGTTTTTTGCTCTCTATTTATTGATCTCCACTTTTTCTTTCCTAACTTTGTATTTTTCATCTAAGGCCTTAACCATGAGCTTGCTTGTTTCTTGCTTACTGAACTGCCTTCTTCCTCTGCGCCCACAGAACTTGGTCATGGGTCAGACCGCAGAAGGCGAAGCCCTGCACGACCCCATGCGCTCTCTCGTGGAGGTACTCAGTCCCGACACGATGACAGAGTTGGAGCGTTTTCGTCTAGTGGTTATCTTTATCCTTTCCCGAAGTAAGCCCTGCTTTCCTGCGATTCCTTTTCATATACGTCCACAGTCCTGTTGATTCAATCGTGATAATAGTTGAAATGCTTTTCACAAACTGCATGCTTTGGCCAATCGTGCAACATTGACCCCGATTCCGACAAGAAATCTGCTGAGACCTGAGAAGCTATGAATTTCCTCGTGAGGCGATTCGCGATAGTAACTTATCAACAGTGTCTTTCACACCACTGCTTAAACATGATGTTTAAGTGGTCCGCAACTTGCCGGTAGGCACCCAAAAATGGTCATATAAACAAAGTCAGATTTCGTAGATTTATTTCCCTGGGACAGTTATTAGGTCAGGGTGCACACGGACCTTAGCCGTGTTCCATACTCCTAAGCATCCTTCGTCTTCCATCAGGCGGGTGACGGCTTTGTCAACCGGATAATCCATGGGGTGCACCTAGAGTTTCTACCATCCTCTTCACTGCTCGAGTTTTTTGAGTTCGCTCTGAACTGCGATCTGCCTGCATATATGCCACCCACCACCATCTCTGGGTGTGCAAATGATTGACCAGCTGGTTAGATTCTCGTCTGTCACTGTTATGCAGCTACTGTGTTAGGTGCGGTAATACGCACATAACAGGTTCCCTCGGCAGAGACTAACAAACGTAGCAAACCTTTTCACTGCTTTCAGCGGCCCAATGTTCTTTTTTTGGAACAATACTGCACACTTTTCTGACGTGTAGCTCTTTGTATCTTTCCAAGTCCTTTAATGACTCCTTGTTGGATAGACTCTCTTCATCCACCTTAATTTTGGATTCAGTTATCGGTAGTCACCAATCTCCTAGACTTGCTACCGAATCTCATTAGGAAGATTTCTGAGCATTACTATGACAAACGGACCACAGTTTCAAGTGCAGCGTCGGAGGTAACAATGAGGGCAAACTATTTATGCCAAACTGAAGGTCAAATGCTTAAAAGAATCCATCGTATTTGTCCCTGAATCTGTTGCAGATCTTATCTCCAGCGTCAACTCCTGACACTACGTTTTTTGAGACGTGGTGCCTCATCTCGCAGCCCGACTTTATTTCCACACAGACTAGTGCCGATTTCTCTAGCTCCAGGCATCCTTTTTAATTATAAAAGGGCTCCTAATCTTAGTGTCCAACCTAATCTTGTCACATGGGACTACTTAAGTTGGGCCTTGACAACTAAGACACTTATCTAGTTTCACGGACAGTCACCGGCCCTTACAAGGCTGTGCTCCCCCATGCCTGCTTACCCCGCATTCTGTTATCTTTTTTTTTACCGATGTGTGTATATGGCGAATTGTACAATATAGCGGGACAAAAAGCTTACTATGGGGTACAGGTGCAGTTTTTTTAGTGTTCAGAGAATTGGAGCAGATGGCTTTTTCGCTGTGACTGCCTATCTTCGTTCCATTGTACACGCCTTGTCCTCACTTTCGCGGGTGCTCTCTTTTGAGGTGGGATTTCGGAGGCGCATTTGGACAAACTGTTGGACTACGCTCGTCTTTCGCTCGCTTACAAGTCAATAATCGCCGCTCTCTCCTCCGTCCTGGGTGCAAGACTGATTAACGCCACTGTAAGTTTTGTCTTCATTCTCATACTAATTGAGCCTTTACGGGGGCTTTCCTACGTCCTTGACGTAGGGTGCTATCTAGAGGTGAATAACCCACACCAGTCTGGTTGGCCTGAGTCTCCTTGCGTGTGGCGCTCATCGGACAGACACGCACGGCGCTCCATCCACTCACCATCAGTAGACCGAAATATTCAGACGGACCACTGACATATGGGAGGGAGAAGAACAAGGTAGACCGGTAGTGAGGTGCCTTCCATCATAGCAATCCAGCGCATTCCTTACCACAGAGTGAACTGAGGGGCCCGAACTTGCCGCGGTGCACTGAAAAAAGGGCCATAGAAAGTTGCCATCTAGCCGGGGGGCGGGGGGTTATCGCAGTCATTCTTCCAGTTACTTTGTACTTGCTACGGCTGTGATCATGCCTGATCTAGCCGATCTCGATGATGTCCTGAACTGTACCTCTCTACGCGTGACGATCCGCGGTAGCAGATCTGGACAGCTCAACTCACTCTCTTCGTCAACGACATAGACCGAATACCGAAGGTCCAAGAACCACCTCCATGTCTTGACGAACTGTGTCGAGCCAGGTTTTGAACTGACCCCCTCTTCGACGCCTCCTATGAGGTAACGGTGCCGGATCGAGGGTAGTAACACTCAGCTCCTGAGGTGGACGATGAAGAATATGTCCGAACCACTTCAGTCGTCTTTCTTGGATGGCCTGAGTTATCCTCGCGATGTTGTCGCAGCGAGCGCGGACTGTCCAGTTAGGACTAATTCGGGCAGTTGCAACCCCCTTTCGAGGCCTAGCAAAGTTTCCATTTTACGACCAACTAAATACTTCCGAGGAGGTATCGCATTCCCCTGACTCTGCCCTTTCTGCGGTGAATGTCCTAATGACGGAAGGCAGACTGTCAGTCCAGTGAGTGAGTCCAGTCGACTGTAAGTGAAAATTCTCCTTGTACACCATAAGGGAGGATTAAACGACTTCGGTTTCCTAGCAGGCGGCCTTGGCCATCCGTCTTCATGGCTTGAAACTCCACCTCTCCCCGGAGACACTTGCAGTTCTGGATAGTTTTTATTATACGTTCGCAAAATCTAGCGTCGCAGGCCACTTGGACGTGTGACATCATTCGGAGGGGCATACAGACGCTATTGAAGAGTAGAATAATGGTGTCCGAATGACCTTGAGATGCGGTGCATTCAACACTTTCATGCGTTACGTGGGGTGTTCGAATGGTTGCCTAGAACAATAACTTTGTTTTGGGCACTTTTAAGGGTTGGGCACGGGAATATGGACCCCTTCTCCTAGTACTACAGACGGCTTTGCGCTAAATTGCAGAGGAGTTCCTATTCCCGTGTCCTAATTTTAACTCAAACCTAAACCGCCTAATCCTGACCCGAACCCCCCCCCCCCCTGTAATTTAAGGCAAGGCAACCTGTAATATGGGACGTCCTTGTTCCCGTACCCAACCCTTTTAAGATTATACCTGTCGTTTTTGAGTGTCGTCGAGCATGCCTTTCAACTGACTAAGATCACCAAACTTGTCTTCTCCCCAAGTCTAAATTCTTCAGCCATCGTAACTGTACGCGGAACCCTAACAAGTAGAACCGACCTTTGCAGGTCCTTTAATTTACGTGTTAGTGCCGTTCACGAATCTAACCTGCTTGGTGGATGGGATAGGTGAACGCGCTTCCCAGGAGAAGTATTTCCGGCAAGGGGGTGGTTTATGGCCGGGGTTACTTGCTCTTGGGTGCATTTGTGTTGAGCACAGAGCAAATCCTGATCCTCTATATTGTCACTAAGGGGGACCATATGCTTACCATAAGATGATAATAGTATATGAATTTAATTCCCCTTTGTAGGCTTTGTCAAAAAGGTGTTGCATTGTCTTATTTTGGCACGTAGAAATACAGTAGGTGATCTAACTCATGAAAGGTGTCGAGATTTACGAATGGTTGCCAATCACGCGCAAACCGACACCATTTCATGAGTCCAATGTCTATGTTAGCTAAGCACAAGTTTGAAAGAACTAAAAGCATAAAATAAATATCAAAGGCAGTGTTGCGCTGTCTAGAAGTGCCGATTTTTTTTTAGAAAAGCGCAGTATCTCGAAAACGTCAGAAATGGCTGTGATTTAGTAAACTTCGTTTTTAGATATATAGAATGTATTCTCATGTCAAAAAGGTAGTAATTATGAAAGAGCAAATAAAATAGCGTTTAATAATAGTGTTTCAGTAAAGTTTGCATTGAAATATCGTTTGAGAATTAGTGTAATTTCATATATGGCGGTTTGTCAACAGCCTACATTCTGAGTATAGATTCCAAGACAGTTTTTCAGGGATTCGTGGGATTTTTGACTCTTGAGCTGAATGAGACGGGTTCAACAAGAGAAACGGAATTTTGCTTGAGTTCACCGATGAAGACGTCGTAGGAACAAAAGTTTTCATAAGGTGACATACTGACAGACCGATCGGTGCTTAATCAATTTAAATAAAACTGACAGGCGTGATCGTAGACACACCATTTCGTGCTTGTAGAGAGGACTTTTATTTCGTTAAATTAATTTACAGATTTTGCTCGTTTTGGATTACGTTGAGTCCCAGATCGGCCTTGAAATATTGTTGAATACTTCATGATTTTCAGTGTTTTCACCCGATCTCCCATAAAGACAGATTCCGAATTACCTGTCAAAGGCTTTAAAATAGGGTAATTATTGAAGACATTTACCGAATTGGTGAGTGTTTGGGTGCATTTTTCACGAAAAAGGTCGTTCGGGTCACATGGAAAGAATCATTCTAACAACAAACTTCATTTTCAAAAAATGGTTGTTCACAACGGAAGTCAGCAACGAATATGCCTTCGATCAATAAGAAAACTTCCTAATAAGTTACCTCTTTACGAAGTGCTTTAATACTGCACTCCGTTGACGGATCTCTGTGTAATTTGCATTTTTCCACGGCGAGGCCAAGAAAAAATTTGGCACTTTCTTTCACGTTTCTAAACAATATTAATAGTTCTCTACCGTAAACGCAAGAACATGCCTTTTTATATATATTCCTGTCATTTGCACTATTTTTGCTCGCTTTTAGACACCGTTCTTCGATTATGCATGCATGACAGAGCGCCCATATAAATACTGATATTTTGTTGGAACTATTAGTTTTTTGATCGTTCCATTTCTGAATTAGGTATGTGCAAAAGCTAGACTACACGACGAGTAATGTTTAATGTCTAAAACTGGAAATGACCATTTGGTGGTGCTCATTTATTTGGCATCACGTGGCGTTATTCAAACGGCAGAACAATTTCAGCCCATTTAAACGAAGAAATCCTTGTCTGCGTTATTACTGCACTTCAGGGCACAAAATCGCACAGATCTGTTTTTATGACTTTTAAGAATCGATAAAACATCTGGTTTTCTTAAAATAGCCTTTGTGTTAGCAAGTTCATTACCAGGGTTAGCGTCGGACATAAAGTACGTTTTCGAGTGCGGCAAAGTCTCTTTATTAAAACTCTCGCGGATAAATTACTTTCCTTTCAAGGAAAAACATGCTAAGATGCGCAACCAGAGTCTAGGACATGCATTAACATAGGAAATTGCACAAATATATTGCAACGTCCATTTTCGCTAGATTTTACTAGTATTTTGCTTGGTATAATTACGTAAACACAGTTTCTGCACAGGAAAAGGACTTTTCATTGAAGGAAGCGAATGGGCAAGCAAAATGCGCAACGTTAAATACGTCCAGTAATTCTCTCATCAGTTTCCGTTATCAGATTTCACGAGGTAGGTCACACACTGAACATATCGCCAGTTATTTTCGTTCAGCACAATTGCTCCCCGAAGTAACTCCGGTCAGAAACCATACCCTTGTCGGTACGCCTATATTCCATCTTGCAACCAGGCTAGGTCGCTGCCGATAGGGCATGAGCCCATAACTTACCCGTTAGATCGTCTGACCCAACTAAACCACACTTCAAAGGTGGAGTATTCCCGGCTTGGAATTTGGGTTATGGGTGGCTGAGAAGGACGAATATGCCCGAAACTGCCACCAAAGTTTCGCCGCTCTCCGTCAGTACTAATTTCCTGATTGACTTTGTTCTCCTCTTTTAGGGGAGCACATTTGATTCGCCCTTGCTGCGAAATCTTCCTGACTTGTCGTCCGCACCAGCTGCTCTACAGTTTTACCTCCCTTGCAAGGGAAAACGCGTAAATCGTGTGGATGACAACTGTTATGCCCTTTCACGCTGGTCGCCCTATCTGGAAGACCTGCTGGAGGTGGGTTTGTGCTATCTCGGCCACGGGACGACAGTTGGTGGCCAGATTTGCTGAACCAACTTTCTACCCTCTTTCTATCTGTTTTTGTAGAAATGCATCGCGGACACTCTGGACTCGCAGCACTTCCCCTTCCTACTGGGGGCCAATTCATCCGATCTACGGGGTCTGGGTCAGTTCGGCAACTCCCTGCAGCCGCCCTCTGATCGTGCGAGCGGGGGGCGGGGCCCCTCGGCTCGCTTCCGTGCCCCCTCACCCTCACCCGGTGGCTCTGTCGACTCAAATGGCGCAGGTGGCGGCGGTAGTGGCTTTAGTAGTGCCAGCGGCAGTGGTTCCACTCGTCACCACAAGACGGCCAGTCTTACACCCGGGATAGGAGACGAGTTGACCAGCATGAGCGACCACTATGGGCCGCGTCTTATTGTTTTCGTTGTCGGCGGTGTTACCTGGCCAGAAGCCCGGGTTTGTTACTCGATCACTCAGAGGGTAGGTTTGGCTTTGTTCTCTATTCTTACCCTTAGGCCAGTTTACCCTTGTTGCTGCACCACTCAACTCAATAGCCACTCGTATTGTTTTTTTTTGTGGGACCTATTTAATGGCCGTTCACGGTTGCCGTATTGCAATGCTGTCATTTAGCATTGAGACGTCTTATAGGACACCCGGTGTACCATATTCCAGTCTCCACGCCTGGTCGTTCCCAGTGCGGAGCTGCGTATCTGTCAGATTTGAGAGACCGCCTATTTTGCAGCCAGTCCTCACTGGATGCCGTGTTTGTGGAGGTGCCCACGGACGCGTCGGGCAACCGACAACCAGGCTACTAGTTGACTGCGAATATGATAGGGCGACTGGCTGTGTTGTGGCACGCGTAGATGAGGATTTGGTGTCAGATGGACCAGGGCGCATCTCTAATCACCTCTACTTAAGCGGACCACTGGAACTAAGGTTAGCTCGACCTCACTGCTCCCTCAAGACTGCGGTGGAAAGTCTTTCGTTGGACGCAATGACACAAATATGAACTTTCCATCGTTTTAATAGGAAGAGGAAAGGACTCATGCCAATGTTATATTAGGAATAGCTTTGATACGTTAGGTTTTTTTCTCAGACACCACTTTTACCTTATGTCGCGTACTAATCGAAGGTGTACTCCCTTGCAAAGGCAGTCCACGAATGTGCAGGTGAAAGAGCCGATCTTGACAGCCCTTAAAATAAGACGAGTGAGGGAAGTGGTTGATCCGTAATGATCACAGTCTTGTTAGATCCAAAAAAGAAGGGCGAGATTTAGTTGAACATAAAACTCAGATGACCAAGTGCACGTTCGGGTCATGGGGCAGCGTGTCTCAATGTTACCTATTTTGTGTGCCTTCGTATCGTCATCCTTAGGTTTTTAACTGTGAATGCGAGGTTTTGTTAGACTATCATGACAGAATAGGAATTGGGTACCATTGAGCCCGTCTCGGTAAGTTGAGCCCTTTCGGGGACCCCACAGGTTGAAGCCTTGATCGTTTAGTTTTGGAGATTTGCTGTTAGGAGAACTCTTCGGTTAACTAAACTATGCCTTTGCTCGTTTGTCTTGTGGTTTGTAATGCTTAACCACTTTTGATTGGTAGGTTAAGATGCTGCTGAATTATTTTTCGTATTAACTGGACGTCAGTTTTGGAGTCCTGCTGATCTCAGCTAGTATTTCACTGTTATCATTATCACCAGTTTTCAAACTGTTGAGTTGCCGAAAGGGACTTGAAGGATGTCGTTGATTTGGGCAGGATGGAGTTTATTAATTGCGTTTTTAAGTGGTGCTCTATAGACTTCGTTGAATGCACGTTGGTGGCGACTGAGTCCTTTCGCCGAGTTTTACTCCTTTAATCCAATACGGGGAAATTTCGTAGTAGCCCACTTTTTTGGAAATGTCGCTCCATAGGCAGAATGATGTTACCGACAGACAAGGGAGACTGGAATGGCCATTTCCGGCTTATTAGCCGTCGTCAGCCAGTCATACCCAACCCCGAAGTGTGGCACACCCGAGCCTCGAACTCGCGACCTGCTAGTTAGAAGTCCACGCCTCTAACCACTGAGCCACGAGCCCGTGGCAGTACTTAAGGAAATTGAGAAGATTCGCGTTAGAAGGGCAGACACGTGTCTGTTCAGGGCGGAAAAAACTCCCTTGTCTTTTTCGGCAATGCCATTCTGCCTATATCATGCGCCGCTGTGCGGCTGCTGATTGGGCTCGAGATAGAGCCCATAAGGCACAACGGAACGAGTGAGTTCCGTAAGAACGATCGATGAGCGCCCCCTTACCATTGTCACTCCATAGTTAGGCCAGCTTTCTTGCCTCTTCGCATGGACGCTGCACGTATCTGTCATCTTTGCTGTCACCACAGCCAAATAACCACTTTGTGGGGTTACCGAAACCGCTCACAGTCTGTTCGATCAGTAGCATGCTCGGAAAATGCCTTTACCCACGCCATACTATACATCTTGTCGGCGCTTGCTGCCAACTGCTTGTGCGCTAAAAGGCAGTAAAAACCGTCCAGTTGCTGGAGCGGCCGATTATAATGACTAATGATCAATGTCAGTCTCTGTAAATTATTACAAGGAGACTGTATATGTGGGCCACAACCCCTATCCCAGGTGTCTGTTTGAGTGAAGAGGAGACCTGGTCGAGCATCGTGAACCGGCGTCATTTTTGTTGGAGCTATGTTTATTTATGATGTCAATCCCGCCCTGGCGGCGTTGCTTCTGTGCACTATAATTTACCCATTGCGTAGAGCCAGCGCCCTGCTGGCAGAGTGAATGTGAAAACAGGGCACCTGGAAATATCTATAACTTGGCTTTAAGGTCCAACTAATGAAGCCTTCTTTTCTGGACGCAATTGTTAGTGCGGTCTAGGAGTGTCAAGTGTTAGTCAGAACCCCTGGGCGCTTATGTTATCTCCACTTTTGCCCCTCAAAGGACCTCCTCAGCCAGTGCGAACCGATTTCGCTACCTTTTAGGTAGACGCTGATCTTTCTTAAGTATCAATAGCGTGCATCGGCATACATACTGGAGTGTTTCGTTCCACTGTGGAGCTCAGGCACAAAGCATTCGCTGGCGGTCGCGCGCCGAAAAGCAGTCAGTATTCTAGAAACATCACTGAAAAACAAGGAGACCATAGCCATCGTTTCTGGCTTACTGAGCGTCGCCAGCCAGTCATACCATAAGGCCACGATTTTTAAAACGACTCCAGTCGATCTTTGAGATTCAGAGGCTGTGCTATTCAGTCGACGGGCTTGATCTATCAGCCGCTTTTGAGAATATTGCGATCACATGATAGTGTCTTTCACCTATCCTGCTTCAAACTCTTGCCTCGACCTCATGTTAGGTGACTCTACTTGCCGACGAAATATAAACGAAAAACGACCTCCGCAGTCTTGCTCTTTTTTCTCCTAATCCGCGCCAATTACAAACTTCCGTCTTCGCCGTGGGATCTCCTTCAAAGCTGTTTTTTTCCAAATCTCACAGGGATGCTTTTATTCGTAATACGTCTTCAGAAGCCCGCTCGATTTAAGCAAACTGACTTCGCGCCTGTTCATCCTAAGTGGTTCGAAAAGTGTAGAGGAGGGGGCATTCCGCTCGCTTACCCCTCTCCACTTTTAATTACTCTCCTTTTTAGTGTCTGGAGACGAGATTGACGCACACTGATCGGTCCACGTCCCCTAACACCACCGTCACCACCTCGAAGCGCTTGGGTGGCGTGGCGCCGACCCCTTCACATATCCTGCCAAACGGTGGCGGTACCGGCTGGAATTGGGAGGTCATTCTCGGTGGCACAGAGATGCTGACGGCCGAGAAGTTCTTCAACAACTTGAAGTACCTTGCTGACTACTAGCTGTTAACTTGGTGACATTCACCAGTCCAGCCTCACTTTTTATTCTCCACCTGGCCTCCCTCGATCCTCACATTCCGCAACCTCAAAATCGGCTGTGAACTCTGTTCTCGTTTTGTACCCGCACACCCTCCCCCCCCCTCCCCGGCACGCTTCTTCGCCATCACGCAGCTTTCATTCTAAAGATGCCCCATATTTTATAGAACACATGTCCTGGTCTCTTTTTAACTGCCTTCTTTTTCACTCGCACGTTTACCGTCTTTTTTGCCCAAACACATTGATAACTTTTTGAATGTCCTTTTTTGCTGGGCTTTCTCTTCTATGTTGCCTTGCACACAAAATTTCGAATTTTAACCTCCAGCTGGAATATTCACTTGCGTCATTGCTAGTCCATCTTTATCTTCCTTACAAGCGGAGAGTTGTGTATGTAGCCCACGCAGGTGTGACACTTTTCCGGCTACTTTATGAGTCAGTTTTCCGGGGGTTATTGTGAAGAATGAGACTACCCATGTCAACTGCTGGCAACACCTGACTTCACGACTTATGCTCAGGGTCATTCAGCATGCCCTATTTGTCCTAGGTTTGCTGGCGATTTCGCTTAGGCTTGCCATGTCATGGGACCAGATTATTCACTTACTTTTAATGGTGCTAAGGGCGTATGCCCGGAGAAGGTTGGAATGCAACGGTTGGTCTCTCGCCTGTTTACTAGCCTTTGTTTTTTGAGTGGGTAACAATCGGGAGATGACACCCAAAAAATCTGTTACCTAGAAATAATACTTTTAATAGTGGACTCAAACGCCTTCTGGCTATATCAGCTGTTGCAGGCCTACTTTCATGCACTGCTTGGACTTTCACCGACGGCCTAACATGGGCTGGCCGAACGAACATCGCAGGAGGTTACATGGACGATGGTCGCTGTTACCCAACCTTCCCCATCGTTACACACGTTCACCTGAATATACGGCATACATTCGCATTATGGCAGTTTATTACAAAACAAAATCACTTTTAAATAAGATAAGTCTGCACAACATGGGGCTGGAATAGTTCCCAGGCATCTGTCAAAGACATGGCATTGAGGCCAATCCAAAGACGATACTGTACTTCGTTTATGTGAGCCCACACAGCTCGACCACATACAGGGCCTCCCTCGTAGAGTTTCCTTTTCAGTCTACGGCAGTATGCCTCAATGGCATTGGTGTGCCGTCCGGTGGTGGGGTCCTTGAAGTTCTTTGAGTGGTTAACAGAGGAAAGTAGATAACCTGAGGGAAGACGATTATACAGTGCTTGACCTATCTCATGAAACGTTGGCTGAAATTCTCAAATGCGTTTTCGATTTGGAAGGATTACTTGGTCGCGGTTATGATACTGATTATCTTAAGGCATACTCTTATAACATTTTGGACTCGGCAGGATATCGGCTTTTAAATGCACTTCTCTTCAATCGCCTGTAGAAAGCGTGCTCGGTAAAAAATGACTACTTAAGTAGCATGCATTTTTCCCATTGATTTTCGATGGTTTTGAAAATTCAAATATATTTTATAGAAACCACAAACAAAAATATGCTTTCTTCTAGTCAATCAATAGAGAATCACGTCTTTTTTATATTTTATACTTAAGGAAGGAGAATAATTAAGTTTTAAAAAAGTTTTGTAATTGCCGAAAAATTTGGAGCCTGATCATTCGTTGCATTATCGCTTAGTGATTACACTCTGCAAGGTGCATGCGTTCCGCATAAAGAAAATCCCATATTTTTCTGTGTCATTAAAGAGATATTATACAGGGTTCACAAAATTTTGCAATGGTTGCGGACCATGTACATTTCATGAGGAGCAGTGGTAAACGGCCAGGTACGATGCTATGTGAATGGGCATATCGCGGTCTTAAAAAGTCTCATAATTGGAAACTTTTTTAAAACCTAATTATACTCCTTCCTTAAGTATAAAATATAAAGAAGACGTGATTCTCTATTGATTGACTAAAGAAAGCATATTTTTGTTTGTAGTTTCTATAAAATATATTTGAATTTCCAAGACCATCGAATATCAATGGGGAAAATGCATGCTACTTAAGTAGTCATTTTTTACCGAGCACGCTTTCTGTAGGAGATTGAAAAGAAATGCATTTAAAAGCCGACATCCTGCCGAGTCCAAGGTGTCATAACAGTATGCCTTAAGGTAATCAGTATCACAAGCGCGACCAAGTAATCCTTCCTAATCGAAACGCATTTCAGAATTTCAGCCAACATTTCATGAGATAGGTCACGCACTGTACGCCTTCCACTTGTCCGTTACCACTATACTGCCTTTGGCGACCCATTTTGTAATAACGGAACGGACAGCGGGCCAACTTCGATCATTCACCCGTCCAAATAAGGCTTTACGTCGGCTAGTATAGTACATCCTGACCAGACACCACCCCTAAACACCTATTACCACCTGTCCCGTAAGACAGACTGCTTTGATTAGGCGGATTCTTTTTGGGTGCCATCTCCCGATTGTTACCTTTGAGTGTTCAAGTATTTTCAGATTCTTCCCATAGGGGGGGGGGGGGGGGGATCACAAGGGCTGCGCACCGTGTGCGACAAGCTTCCTGGTAAGGGAAACAAGCAATCGTCCGATGCCTTGTTCAGCGTTTTCTGCGTTGCGAATATCGATCCGCAAGCTCGCGTCGAAGGCTCAGCTGCCTGACATTGATTTATTCACCCTAGAAAGCGTTCGTCCTTGAAAATTTGCTAAATCTAGCAGGTTCTTTAGAAAAATTGCCCGACACTTTAAACACATTTGAGGTGGTCGTGGCAGATTAGTCTTTCTTGGGGTGGAGTAGGCTTCCCGGTATATCGAGCGTCAAAGCGGCCATCGGCGGCAGGATATTGATGGGCGTTCCCGTTCGCGGCATGCTGTGCCAAGTTGCCTTAGACGCAACCAAGCCAAGGCCGGAACTGCCTGTAATGTGTTTCTTCTCAGGGAAGTTGGGGGCCTTGTACTGAAAAGTGGATTTGGTGTGTGATAGGAGTGTCCTGGGTGACGTAGTTCATGAAACATTAGCCGAGATTTTGAGGTGTGCTTTCAGTTAGTAAAAATTGGCAAGGTGGGGGTAATACTGATTGCCAGGCAACCTGATCATGAGATATTTCGGTCGCGCCAGGACGACTTGAATGCGTGTCCTTCTGGGCGCCCTTAAACACCCTGATTTTCGATGGTCTTTTGGGTTCAAGTGTGTTTCACAGAAGGCATCCACTGTCTTGTACTGACTTTTGGCAAATTACGTCTTAGATTTTTTGCTCGAGGAAGGGGTAACTTTCGGTCTAAAACATTTGGGATCCTGAGACTGAGTCACCCATTTAAACAGCATCGTGCCTGTTCGTTTATTCGGGCTCCTTACGATGCATACAACGCGTTTCATCTCCACCGAAGTGTTTTTAAACACGCATCACATGTGCTTAAGATCGTGGAGGAGTGTATGGTCTTGCTTAAATGGAAAGTGTACGGTTTATGAGTTGGAAACCGTCATCAGGTCGATCGTCACTCAGGAGGACGTCCACCGTGTGCCGCAAGACATGGCGAGCGCAGGACGTTGACTTGATAGTGAATTAGTTCATAGTGGTAGCAGACTTGCGCAGCGTCAGTCACACTCTCCCCGCTCCTCATCCACCTGAGTCCGGTGGCAGGACAGCACGATCACGGAAGCGGAACGGGGCGCAGTGGCTGACAAAGTGAGATGACTCGTCTACGCGTGCCACACACGACCTGGTCCGCGTACAATGAACCAGGTTGTCGCGGAAACAGGTGGGGGGTGGAGAGGGGTGGTCAGGCTCTCGTCTGAGTGCAAGTACCACAGAGGCCACGTTCGAAAGAAGTCATTGCAGTCTGACTCTTTCTCCGTAGACGAACAGGTTAACTACTAGTCACTTGGCAACCTTTCAAGACACAACTTTGAGCGTGTAGTGGTGGATTCAAACGCGTCAATTTTTTTTGCGGGGTGTGGCGTTCTGACAAGCCGTGGGAATGGAGTCGCAGAGTTGGCTGTACTCTCTCCGCTTCCTGCTCCCGGTTACTCATCTGGTGTTGTGATTGAGCCCGGTGGTTGATAAAGCTGCTGGAGCTCATCTACATGTGCTACGTACGACCTAGTCAAACACCAGGTTGCTTCTAAAGAGCACGTTCTTCATTAGCGAGAGTTGTACCTGTTCCATGTTTGTAATGCGTGATAGGGACGGTCTGGGGGTAGTGATGTGTGATCATAGAGTTTGATCTTCATTGTCTTACCGTTGATTTTCACGAAAGCGTATTTGACCGAGTACATCCATGTGGCGAGTGAGGTCCGTGGGAAGTTGGGGTGTGTGCGACGGGTGCTCCTGGCACTGGTTCACCAGCCGCAGTGCGATGGATTTGCAAGTGACCGACTGGGCCGACGTTTGATGTGAAGCTGCGGTCGCAATGGGGATAGAGTTTGATCAATTCCGCACTGCCGGTCGGTGGCAAGCCATTGTGAGCGTTCTTATTGGTGGGGCAAGTGAGAGTACTAGTGGCCATCGTGACCGTCGGAATGGGAGTTGTGATCGTGTTGATGGCGGTTGTGAACGCCAACGAATCATCGGCGGTAATAGTCGCCGTCATGTGCATCATGGGGCTTTTGACGGTTGTAGTGGATCCAGTGGACTACTTCCATGTTGTTTCAGATACTACTTCCGAGGTAGGCGAATTTGTCCACCGATGTAATTCGAGTTCCAATTACGTTATCCCTGGGCGCAGTATGCTTTACCTCCACCGCTGGTTAATGCGTAACCACTGTTTTGTCTGCCTTGATAGTCAGCCGCGCAACCGTAGGCGAAAAGGATCATGCTTCTTTGCTTGACTGCATCTGTCGTGCCGGGTGAACAGTCGTCCGTGGGGAGGGGGTCGTGTACAGTGACTGTAAATGTTTTCGCTATTGCTTGAATTCATCAGATGGGGAGCGCGGGTGCCGACTTAAACGGAATTGCAATAAGCAAATTTATTTTT